TCATTGACTGGATCACATACTCCCTCTGCTGTCTGTTAGCATGGATAGGCTAGCGTTAGCCTGGACGGGCTGGTGTTAGCATCAGAGAGGCTAGCCATTAGCGTGCCTAGGCTGGCCACTAGCTGGATTTCCTACCCCCTCGACGGACCTTTAGCATGGATAGGCTGGCGTTAGCATCAGAGAGGCTAGCCATTAGCATGTGTCGGAGAGCCACTTACGCTATTGGATGCATTTTTTTTGTACTTTTATTAAATGTATGACATACTATGAGACCTCCAATCACAGTTGTTCCTTTGACAGAATACGTTGTTATACAGATTAATAGCTAGCCTCTGCTAACACCAGCCCGTCTAGGCTAACGCTAGCCTATCCATGCTAATAGACAGCATGTGATCCACTCAATGACCAGCCGAGTGCTGCTAGTCCCTAGCATATCTAGTAGTAACACCGTTAAAGGTGCTATTTCTCAGTTAGCAGCGCCAGCGTCTCAGTTACCGGCGCCAGCTTATCATTAATCAGCTTGGTAGTTTGCATCGGAACTTATATAGCCTCCTGCTGCTGGGCAGTAGTCTTAATTTTGTTCCCCATACTGCCCCATAAATCCTAACCCCAAGAATGAATTCATTCAAAGGCTGATGAGCACATTAGGGTTTTAGTTTTGTTTTAAACAACCCTAGAGTTGGAGCAGATCTGAGATCCAGGGGAAGCTGATTCCATTTATGAGCAGCATAGTAGCTAAAAGCATCTCCGCCCTGTTTGTTTCTGACCCGGGGTTCTACCAGCTGGCTGTATCCTAAGGATCTACTGGGTGTATATACGGGAATGAAATCTGACATGTATTTTGGTCCCATGCCATTGAGTGATTTATAAACTAGTAGGTGCACTTTGAAATCTATTCTGTGGTTTACTGGTAACCAGTGTAGGGATCTAAGAACAGGAGTGATGTGCTTCGTTCTCGTGGTTCTTGTTAAGACTCTAGCAGCAGCATTCTGAACATACTGCACTTGCTTCACAGCTTTTTTGGGAAGACCAGTTAGGAGTTATTGTTACTGTTATTATTATTATTTTCATGGTTGTTGTTCTTGTTAATATTATTATTGAAGGTTCCTGATGAAGGTACTAATCCTGATGCTCCATTTGGACGCGTTAAGGATAAAAGTGGTTCGATGAGGAATTGTGACAATGGTCTATAAGGAGTAAAAAGGTTTTAACGCAGGAAGTGACCAAATGAATAAGAGGACAACAGAACTCTTTAATAAACTGGACTTAAGGTGGGTCCCACCTCTAAGGTTTTTACAGAAATGAAGTCATGTAACACAAAGAAACAGTCCTAATCTCAGTGTGATCCATGCAAATGAGTCAATGTTTTTCTGGTTTTGCATCTACTGTGCTTTACCAGGAGAAGGGTCTTGTGAAATTTACCGGTTGATCTACGTTCCTACTCTCATCTACGGTCGCAAGCTTTGGGTAGTGACTGAAAGAATGAGATCGTGGATACAAGCGGCTGAACTGAGTTTTCTCTGCAGGGTGGCTGGGCTCTCCCTTAGAGATAGGGTGAGAAGCTCGGTCCTCTGGGAGGGGCTCAGAGTAGACCCGCTGCTCCTCCACATTGAGGAAAACCAGTTGAGGTGGCTCGGGCATCTGGTTATGCCTACTGCACACCTCTGGAGGGACTATGTTTCTCGGCTGGCCAGTGTCACGGTCTGTGTCTGCGTCTCCCTCATGTGTCTCCTTGTGTGCTCCATTCCCCTCTAAGAATCCCCCTTATGTCTCTCTTTGTGTTCCTCGTGTGTCCCCTGGTCTTCAGCCCTCCAGATATTCCCTCTCAGGTCCTGTGTTCCTTCGGTCTTCCCCAGTCACCCCTCTGCAGTTTTTATAGGTTCAGCTTCTCATTTTATTTTGTCTCTTTAGTATGTTTTCCCCACAGGTTTTTGTAGTTTTCCTTCCCCTTAGAATATTATTTAGCTGCCTCTTCTTGTCTTTAGGTTTTTTACTCTTAGGTCATGTTAGTTTCTTCCCTAATTACTAACTCTGTTCACCTGGCCTCTCTTCCCACACAGCTGCAGGTCATCTCCCTCTCATCCTCCCCAGTGTATAAAGCCCTGCCCGTGTCTCAGTGTCTTGTCGGTCCATTGTTTTGTTGTCAGCGTTGTTTTGAGCTCTATATGAGCTTTTGTATCTCGTCTCCAGGTTTTGTGCTCTAAGTGAGCTTTTGTATCTCGTCTCCAGGTTTTGTGCTCTAAGTGAGCTTTTGGTTCTAGTCTCCAGGTTTTGTGCTCTAAGTGAGCTTTTGGTTCTAGTCTCCAGGTTTTGTGCTCTAAGTGAGCTTTTGGTTCTAGTCTCCAGGTTTTGAGCTCTATGTGAGCTTTCGGTCTCCTGTGGTTCAGGACTTATGTTATGGGCTTCCTGCCCTTTTTGGATTTTTTGGTTCATCATCCTAAATAAAAGGATTAACTTTTAAACCGCTCCTGCCTCGTTTCATCTGGGGTAATCTGCATCTCGGGTCCTAACAACCTCCTTGCTCTCAACGTGACAGCCAGGGAATTTGGGATGTCCCCTGCGACACGACCCCGGATGAGCAGAAGAAAATTGATGGAGGAATGCACTCTAATATATTACTTGAAAACGAGGTATTATGTACCTCATAATATACTTATTTATAAATACAAAATACCTCATATTCTTGTAATATTTTTCTTCTTTTCTTTCCATCCTGAATTCATCCTCATCTCCACCAAAACCAGTACGTGACATCCTGTTAGCATAGTGGCCCACTTATTACCCTGTTTGGGCAGTAATTCAATTCAATTCTATTCAAAAATACTTTATTAATTCCAGATGGAAATTGATTGCTGTAGTAGCTCAGAATAATAATAATAATAATAATAATCAAGTCATCAAAGAGTTGTTGTATATTATAATGGCTGTTGGCAGGAAGGATCTCCAGTAGCGGTCAGTGTTGCAGCCAAACTGAAGAAGCCTCTGACTGAAGACACTCTTCCGTTGTCGGACAGTCTTGTGAAGAGAATGCTCAGGGTTGTCCATCATTTTCTTGATTCTCTGGAGAATCCTTCTTTGCATTATCTCCTCCAGCGATTCCGAAACTGCCGAAACTCTGGCTGAGTCCTTCAAAGGGCTTGGAGTTCCTCCATCTTGTTGGCCAGTGATGTCACATTCCCCACTATGATCGATGGAAGAGATGGTTTGAATTTCCTCTTTCTCTGTCTCCGTTTTGCTCCCGCTCTGCACCCACGCTTCTTGCGTTTTAGCTCATTTGGGATTTGTGGCTTCAGTTGAGGTATTATTTCAACCTTTCCAATGTTAATCAGCTGCTCCCGATTGTAAACCAGCTTGATGAAAAAAAGCTAAAAAATAGCAGTAAAAAAGCTTCACAGCACCAGAAACAGAAAAGTAAAGTGTCCAAAAAATACCGTTTTTCTTGAGAAACTAGAAGAAAAAATGTCCAAGAAAAGGCTAAGCTAACATATAGTCAACAGAGCTACTCCAACATGCAGCCACCCAGAGCAGCGCAGTTCCGACAAAAACACGTCGTGTTCCAGCACGGTATTTCCAACTCAATTAAAGAGACTAAAACCTTCTAATACTTCTTTTTGAACTCCATTTTAATTGCAGCCATAGATCATTTTTTGTTCGAGCTATTTTTAGATTATTCGGTGACGTGGAAATGTGCACTTTTAATGTGGAAGAATACGTCTGCATGTGGTTTCATGCACAAAGTGCCTTTACATAAATATTCTGTCCAATGTTACTTGTCTCGTTCTCTTTTTTGTTTTTACACCAATTCAAACTTCAGCATTGCAGAAAGTAGCTTTCACAGATGACACCGCTCTTCTGTGTGGTACTTCTGATACAGGCAGCTGCATTTATTGCTTTTAACAGAAGTGTGGACGTTCCTGAGCTTCTCTACACCGGAGCGCGGGGAAACGATGGCTCTCATCTTCTGGAGTTTCTGCCTCGATTTTCCATCTTTAATTCACTGAATGATCATTTTAGCTGCTTTATGAATCTAAAAGTAGAAGAATGAAGGAGGCTGAATCAGAAGATGATTGAGATTTAATCACAACTGAAACATTTCTCCACACATAACTTTCCCAATGATCTAATGAACAAAAAACGTTTGTGTTGCTGCTGTAACACAATTAGTTCTTCCTCCCTATGACTTCCGTAACCATGGCGACAGCAGAGCATCCCCCTCTGGTCTCCTGAGCCTGTTAATTGTCCTGTTAGAGTCCGAGTGTCCACACAGACCAGGTCTTCTGGGTTCTGGTGCAGCGAGGACTCCCACCGGGGCTCATTACCGTCAGACGCAGCAGCAACGATGATGTAAGCACACAGGTGACCTCTGACACCACGCTGGCGATCCAAGTGAAAACATCAAAGCCTTCTAGGCAATCTCTGGGGCCAAACAAGGTCACAGGTTCACCTGAGCAGTCTCAGGTAACTTTGCTCATTTTGGAGGTGAAACAACAAAACGGAACATTTGTACTTCGAGCTGACGAAGCCGTGTTTCTGCTTGTGTCTGTTTAACCAGCAGGATCTCACGTCTTTCACCAGTTTCCAGTTCTCTGTTCCTAAAACCAAACGGGGTTTCCTAAATCTAAAGAAAGGAGCTTTGACCTGAAGGCCTTCTCAGACTGAGCAGAAGGAATGTGTTTAAAACTATTGTTGATTAAAGATGTTTGAAATCACAAAGTACAAGGCAAGAAACATGATGAACAGATGGATGGATGAACAGATGGCGTCGTCGTCTGCTCAGATGATGTCTCTGTGGGTGCAGGACGTCTTGATGGTAGGGTGACCTCTCTGTGGTGGGGTGACGACTCCTTTGGAAGGTGGTGTCTTCCTGGCATTGTAACATCGCCATGGCGGGAGGACTTCTCTATATTTGGGTGATGTCTCCATGGTGGAGGGATGTCTTCCTGGCAGGGAGGTCATCTAAATGGTGGGAGGACATCTCCACATTAGAACGATTTCTCCACAAAGGGAGGACGTCTCCTTGGTGAGGACATCTCCTGTCCGTGGGGATTCTAACCGTCAGCAGCCTCATCCAGAAGGTATAAAGCAGCAGCATCAGTGGCGCACCAGCTGATGATCATCTGAAGCTCAAACATCAAACACCGCAGGTTGCTCCTCCAGCTGATGTGCAGGTTTCTCTGAACGGACATCTGCACGTCGGCAGCATCCGGCTGCTGATCTTTTTTAAGAGTACCGGTAAATCAAACGATCAGCTGCTGACGGGTTTCTGGAAGGGTGTGTGGTTTGCTACAGGAACAAGAAGAAAGGTCTGAGTGAAACCAGCTGCTAAGATTGAATCTCTTTTGACAGCGAAGGTGTCTCAGGTCCTCCTAACAGCTGACCTGGTTCGTGTCAAACATGTAAAATTCTTAATGATCCACACAGAGCAGTGGAAAAGCTCTACCACCTCCACCCTTCTATGGTTTCACCTCTGGTTCCCTTCCTGTCGTTCATTCTTCATCGTTAAGTTTTCAGCTTCTTTCCTGTCATATTAGTAAAAATCTGCTTTTAGATGGTTCAGTTCCTCCGGTGGTTCTTCTGCACGGGGTTGAGGACTTTATCAGGAGGGGCCAAAGGTCACCTCCGTAGACGACGATAAACAGCTGATTATTATGTTTGTTGTGAAACTTGCAGTTTGGCTCTTTGAAAAAAGACAGACGTTAACGTGTTTCCTTCAGAGTTGACTTTAATTGGAGTTTTTGTTTTTATTCTAGTGACATGAAACCGTTTTGTTTGTGTCTGAAAGGAAAAAGCTGAAGTAACAGAAACTTGTAGTTCATCTGATTCTCTCTGCTTGCAGGCTGGTGACGGGAGCGTTTCCGGCTGAAAGCAGGATGACCAACATCTCTTCACACAAACACTTTATCCTGGTTGGTTTTGAAGAACTCGGAGCTCTGAGACCCGTCCTCTTCCTCCCGTTCTTCCTCATGTTCGTCGTCTCGCTGCTGGCCAACTCCCTGTTGGTGTATGTGGTCATTTCCCGGAGAGCCCTTCATCAGCCAATGAGCATCCTCATAGCTGGCATGGCCTGCGTTGAACTCTGCCTCCCAGTATTCTTTGTGCCCAACATGCTGCTGAACTTCCTGTTTGACTGGAAGGGGATCTCTCTGATTGGCTGCCTGATTCAGATGCACTTCATTCACTTTTTTGGAGCTTTTCAGACCACCTTCTTGGTGTGGATGGCTCTGGATCGCTACTTTGCCATCTGCACGCCTCTTTACTACCACGAGGTGATGGCTCTGCAGAGATTCATCAGGTTTGTCATCCCGCTGTGTGTCAGAAATGCTTTGCTCATCACCGTGTTTGTGAGTTTAGCAGGAAAGCTCTCCTTCTGCACCGACAGGATGAACCACTGCTTCTGTGAGCACATGGCCCTGGTGGAGCTGGCCTGTGGAAGCACCTCCATCAACAGTCTAGCAGGACTGATGGCTGTGTTCCTCATTCCTGTCTTTGACTTCTTTGTCATCGCCGTCTCCTACGTCAGGATTTTCAGCTCTGTGCTGAAGTCTAGAAGCTCTGGAGCCAAAGCCCTGCATACCTGCGTCACACACATCATTGTCCTCTCTTTCAGTCTGACGCTGGCGCTGATCGCTTTCCTGTCGTATCGGATCAGAAGCGGGCTGCCTGCAGCCATTCGGGTTTTCTTCAGCACCATGTACCTGCTGTTTCCCTGCTTCTTCAACCCGATCATTTACGGAGTCAGAACCTCTGAGATTAGACAGCACATGCTGAAGCTGCTGGCCCACTGGAGATGTTCTGTCCAGACTCTACCCTTCTCTTAAGGGATGTATCATGTCAAACGGATTTCCGTGTTCCAACCAGACATGCAATAAAATGCACTAGACTATGTAAAAGTATTTTCCTCCACACCGGCTTCGTGTTTTTGCTTGCTTTGAACAGTGCTCTTGTGAAACAGACAGACAAATAGGTGATAGATAATAATAATGACAACAACAACAACAACAACGTATAGGGTCTTTATAGCACTTTTCAAGGCACCCAAAGCACTTTCCATTATTCACACACTCACCTTAACACACTGCCAGTGATGGTAAGCTACTACAGCCACCCCGGAGGGGTCTGACAATGGTGAGGCTGCTACTCCGAATCCGAATCAGGGTTTATTGCCATATGTGCGAGAATCAAAACATTAGGAAAAGCTGCGGTACTTGGTGCAAGAAAAAAAATAAACAATAAGCAAAAATTCAAAGAATCACGAAAAAGAAAAATCAAGTAATTCAATTCAATTCAATTCAAGTTTATTTATATATCGCCAAATCACGACAAGAGTCGTCTCAAGGCACTTCACATAATAAACATTCCAATTCACAGTTCATTAAGCCAATCAGGAATAATGTTTCATATATAAGGAACCCAGCAAATTGCTTCAAGTCACTGACTAGTGTCAGTGACTTGATGCAATCCTCATACTAAGCAAGCATATAGCGACAGTGGAGGGGAAAACTCCCTTTTAACAGGAAGAAACCTCCAGAGAATCCTGGCTCAGTATAAGCAGCCATCCTCCACGACTCACTGGGGATGGAGAAGACAGAGCAGGCACACACACACACACACACACACACACACACACACACACACACACACACACACACCCCAAGCAATGTGTCTATGGTTACATTGTGATTTCTTAGTAAATATTCTATTTGGCGAGAGATAAACTATTGTATTTATTCTAATGAACCTATAATTAAATGGGTAAACTAGTAGTAGCACATTCAATGTCAAAGAGAGTACAAAGTTATTATCAGGAGAGGGAAAATGTTTAAGTGGTTAGCAGCAGTGGGCTAGACGATGGCCCCCTCCATGAGGCCATCACAGCTCAGCAGAACATCGTTGTAGCTTCTTCTGGGGAGAAAAACACTTAGAGAGAAAATAAAGTTAACAGCTGAAATAGCAGGAAATAGTACAGTTAAAGAGCAGATTGTAGAAGAAAGTAGTAGCGTGTGGAAAGTGGTCAGTGTATCCTCCAGCAGTCTAAGCCTATAGCAGCATAACTACAGAGATAACTCTGGATAATCTATCCTATTTAGATGGAGGCATGTTGGAGGCAGGGCAAGGGAGAGCCGTCTTTACCGACTGTACACTCCACCTCCCTCTACTCCCCCACTTGTCCAGATCTAGGCTAACATCAGATTTTAACCATAGGCCCTATCAAATAAAAATGTTTTAAGCCTAGTCTTAAAAGTAGACAAGGTGTCTGCCTCACGGAATAAAGCTGGGAGCTGGTTCCACAGGAGAGGAGCCTGATAACTAAAAGATCTGCCTCCCATCCTAATTTTAGATATTCTGGTAACCACCAGTAATCCTGCAGTCTGAAAGCGAAGTGCTCGGTTAGGAATGTATGGAACAATCAGGTCACTGATGTATGATGGAGCTTGATTATAATAGGTGATACGAATAAACACAATGAAGTGATAATAATACAGAGAGGCAATAATTAGAGAAGCGGCTACTATATACAAGTCACTGTAGATACTGGTCAGCGCGGGTCAGTTTAGGTGCAAACACAACACTGGGTCATGTGACTGAAACAAGCGACTGGAATGGGCAGCCCTGAGTCCGAGCGCAGAGGGGAAGCAACTGTTCTTGTGGCGAGAGGTTCTGGACTAAATGGACCGGAGCCTCCTGCCGGATGGGAGCGATTCAAAAAGACTGTTCAGGGTGAGACTGATCAGATGATCCGACCTGCACGCCTCATGGTCCTGGAGGTGTAAAAGTCCTGTATAGAGGGGAGTTTGCAACCAATGACCTTCTCAGAGCGTACAACACGCTGCAGCTTCTTCTTGTCCCTGGTGGTAGCTCCAGCGAACTACATGGTGATTGAAGAGGTGAGGATGGACTCATCCTATTTCGCGCCATTGGCCCCTCTGACCACCACCTGCACAAGCAAGTCAGGTGAAGTGTCTTGCCCAAGGACACGATGGCAGAATACCCCTGACGGGAGCTGAAATTGTGCCCATGACTCTCTGGTCATGGGGCAACCCGCTTTACCTCCTGAGCTGCTGCCCAGACAGATAAACTGACAGACAGACAGATGGATGGATGGACCTTTATTGTCCCATGGGGGAAATCTTTTTCACATAAACTATCAAACAGACTTGTCAATGTGGACAAAACACAGACAGGACAGCACACACGGAAGTGGATTGAATAGGGATTGGCTCGAGGTAACTTAACGTTGATTTGCCGGCACGGTGTGTGTTGTAAAAAGGACCTAAGAAACCAAAGAAGTCCAGTGCCTTCGGTTGAATTACAAGGCATTCTGTCCTACAAGAGACCACTGCAAACGTATCCAACATGAGTAAAGTTGGTCTTAGTTAAGCTGGTTTAACTTCCAAAGCCTGGCTCACACGGCAGGATGTCCATGTCAGTTTTTGACACCACACACACACACACACACACACACAGACACACACACAGGCCACTGAGGCCATCTTGTGGCCGAAAAGGGGCACGGCACGTACCCCCCCCCCCCCCACACACACACACACACACATACACACACACACACATACACACACACAAGAGAATAAATTGGGGGTCTCAAAAAGGGCCAACATTTATTCAATTGAACCAGGTCCCCCGCTATCTAAACACACAAACAATAACTAGCTAACTAACCCTGGATCTCCAAAGGCGGGCAGATTAAACACTTATCATCGCACGGCGCTGATCCCCAGCGCTGCGGAGTGTTCCCGAGATGTCTGCTCTCACAGACAACACTAGCCTTATAGGAGGATCCGACACCTAAAAACAAAAACCCTACAAGGGAGCCTCATAATTAAACTGTATAACGAAGCGGTCGTGATGAGGATGACAAAGCCCTTCTCTTGGAGAATCTCCAGGCTGACTTCCTGGAGCAGTTTCACAGTTATCCAACCCATCCGAGACAACAGCACAAGCAGCCATGGGCTTTGGTGACGGGGGGTTTACGCTCTTCCGGTTTTTCCGCTTGAGACGAAAACAATCCCTAATCAAATTACCTTTTTCGTGACAATAAAAACATTCCGGAAGGTCACTGGAGTCAGAGGAGGTGTCAGAGGATCTCCTACTTCGACCGGGGTCTGCTCTTGGTCCCCAAGACCGATGCGTTAGCTTATACTCATCTGCTAACAGTGCAGCAGCCGAAAGAGTTGAGACCTTCTGTTTGTTTAAATACAAAACGAGCCTCTCAGGCACGTGTCTTATGGGGCGACGGTGGCACAGGAGTTAAGTGCTCACCCCGTAATCGGAAGGTTGCAGGTTCGAGCCCCGCTCAGTCTGTCGCCGTCGTTGTGTCCTTGGGCAAGACACTTAACCCACGTTGCCTGCTGGTGGTGGTCGGAGGGACCGGTGGCGCCAGCGCTCGGCAGTCTCGCCTCTGTCAGTGCGCCCCAGGGCAGCTGTGGCTACATCGTAGCTCATCCCCACCAGTGTGTGAATGTGTGTGTGAATGGGTGAATGACTGATTGTGTTGTAAAGCTCCTTGGGGGGTTTCAAGAACTCTAGAAGGCGCTATATCAAATACAGGCCATTTACCATTTACCAAACTCCTCCACCATGATTAGTTCTTTGAGGTCAGCTAAGGAGTCTACCCCTGAAGCTGAACACCATTTTTCGAAGAGGCCTGATTTCTCATGAGCATATTCAACATATGTCTGATTAGGCCAAGGTTTTTCAAAACGAAAGCGCTGACGATAAGCCTCAGGAACAAGCTCATAAGCATTTAACACGGCGGCTTTTACACACTCATAATTTGAACTGTACGTTAGAGACAGAGCCGAAATAACCTGTAGGGCCTTACCTGTGAGCCTACACTGCAAAAGTAACATCCACACCTCACGCGGCCACTGGGGGGTCACCGCAATCCGCTCGAAAACAGGAAAATACCCATCCGCTTCAGTCTCTCGGAAGGGCGGAAGCAGGGCAACACACTTTGAGACGTCGAAGGCGGGTAGCAATGATGCAGTAGCCGGAGGAGACATAGTGTCTCAGGAGAGTTCATGCGGCGACTGAGACAAAGGCGAAGAACAGTCGGCAGCCGTCTGGTTCGAAGCAGCGGCAGCCTCCAGCGTCCTCATCTGTAGCGCGATTTCCCGAAGACGAACCTCAGTATCAAGTCTTTTTAGCTCCATTTCATGATGGAGGGTCCTTTCGAGAGTCCTTTCCTCCGCTTCCATCTTTAAGCGAGCCAGGCGCAGCTTCAATCGAGCTCCGGTTAGCGGTGAGCTGGAAGGACTAGCTCCGGACGAGACGGACGCTGGAGGCGAATCTTCATCTGAGGAAGGCGGAGCTGAAGCGAGGGTCTCCCTCTTCTGATCGAGCCGGCCCTTTTCCATATCCGAGGGCAGCGGGGACACACCAGGAGTGGACTGCGAAGGGAGGAGTCCCTGGGCCTCCAAATAATCCACCAATAATTTCTGAAGAGCTGCCTTGGTGAGCTTCTTTGGCAGAGGGAGACTGAAATGGATGGTAACCTGCTGCAGATCGGCTTTGCTGCAACTCTCCGGAAGCCGGCGCGAAGGAGCCGCCACAAACGCATGCACAGTAGGTCAAAGGTTGCCATGCTCTGCCTCTAAGGGACACAAACACAATGTTATTATCTTTACACACACTTAAAAATAACTCAAGAAAGATGGTAAATGAAGATAAATCCCGGACGAGCCCCCAAATTATTACGTCCCCGGCTCTCTAGGAGAGATGAGGAGGGGAGTAATAAGATTAGTGTGTGGGTTAAACAATAACAGAGTGCCGTGTCGCTTAAAAAAACAAGGATTTATTACAACGAAAGAGAGAATATTTACAAAGGACCTAAAACGCAATAATATATACAAAACAAAAGGAGCAATATTAAAAAGGAGAAAAGAAAAGCGCCAACCCAGAAGGGGATGGGGAGAAAACAACCGAGAATATATATTCCAAAAGGGGAGGTCCAAAGCCTAAGTCCAAATGCCGGTCCGAAGTCAAATTGCCAAAAGTTTTATCCTAAATCCGAATCCAAAGCGAGTTATTTACCAAAACCGAATCTTATCAAAAAGGAGCGAACCGAGGAGAAGAGAATAGAATAGACTGATTCCAGTCTACTCTACCCTCGGACCTTCTCAAAGAACTGATGGCTGTGGGGCAGCTTTTAACAGCTGTCCAGCAATTACCTCCGATTAACGACAGCTGGGCACCGGGAGACAGGCGAGGCAAAGGTCACTGAGACCATCTTGTGGCCGAAAAGGGGCACGGCACGTAACACACACACTTGGCTCCAGTGTAAATACAGACATGTTTATATTTTCCAGAAGTCACATGGAAACCGAACCTCAGCCGTTCCTCACTCGGTGCAAACGAAGCTTTGCTGTGAAGTACTTTAGAAAACATCCAACTCAAGAGTTCTGATGGAAAAATCTCATCCAAGACCCTCATTAAAACGAGCAAGATTCAGGAGGTCTTTCAGGTTGGCATCCCATTTCAGTTAGAGACAAGACAACTCGCATGCTGTTTCAGCTCCGAGGCCAAGAAAGCCAAACCAGCTCAAGGACGAAACTCCCACTAAAAATGACGTTATCTTCAAAATGGAGAGGATCTTGTTTTGTACTAGAAGGCAAAAACATATTCAGATGAAGGATGGGAGTGGTGGATAGAGATGATGAAACATGTAAGAAATTATTGGGTTTAACAGTGAACTTTTGGACATGAGTTATTGTTTTATGAAAAGCACAAACGCCCGTTCTGTTTCATTGTTGCCTGTTAGTCTTCTCATCTATTTCATTTGACTTGTTTATTTATGTTTTATACGTTTACAAAAACTGTCATGACTCTCAATCTTTCAGCCTTCATGCAGCAACCCTGTTCCCCTCATCAAGCTCCAGCCAAGCCCGTTTCCCTGGCAACCTCAGCCTGCACCTCATCAACTCCACCCTTCTCACCTGTTCCTCCTGCTATATAAGAAGCATTCAGCTACCCCGTCACCGCCAGATTATTGAACTCTTCTTGCCAGTAAATTCTCCAGCCATTACTCACCTTGCCATTGAAGATCCGGAACCCTGCTCCGTCCCCGACTTCGCCTTTTGGATTTCCCTGTCGGACATTTCCTACCTCAGACCTCTGGTGACTCCACTCCTAGTGAAGACTTTTTATTTTACTTTCACTGTGTTTGGCGTCATCACGGGTCTTCCGAGTTCAGTTCGTGACAAAAACGTTAATAAAGAAAACACAAAGAGCCAAGTTTGATGTTTTACATCAGCTCTCTGTGGTCTGTGACTCTGCCGGTGGAAATCTGTTTCCAGGCGCTGCGTATTTTGGACATTTGCATTCCGTACATGATGGGATTCAGAAGAGACTGCAGTATGACGAAATACAGAGACATGATAATCTGCAGCACGTCCGGAGCATCCCATACATCAAATCTGCTCTGAAGGATTTCAAACGGACAGCCAAAAGAAAAGTTTAGGGGTGAAGACAGGTGAGGCGTACAGGTGAGGCGTGCAGGTGCTGGCGGCTTTCTGCCTCGTCTGTTTGGAGCCAGCAGAACAAACTCGCAGAATCTTCATGTAGGAAAAGATGATTGGCAGCAGTGGGACTAAGACTGAGAAAGCGGTACCAAACAGTCCAGAAATATCATTCACTCTGGTGTCAGAACAAGCCGGCTTCACCACCAGGTAGTTAAGACAAACGGTGCCGTTTAAGACGTTCCCGCACAGAGTCAGATGCCCCGTTAGTATCAGGGTCACCAAAAAGGTCACAAACGAGTGAAACCAAATGAGAAGATCAAACAACAGAACCCTTAAACGAGTCATGACTGAGTGGTACTGCAGCGGGCAGCGGATGGCCAGGTATCGGTCATAAGACATAACAGCCAAGTTACAAAACTCTACTTTTACACAAGAATAAAGACAGAAGATGTGCAGGAAACAGAGGAGAGGAGCAGAAATGGTGTGAACATCCCCGTGCATCCGTCTATCTGCCTGCCCACCCATTCCTTCGGCTCGGCTTCTGACCAAGTCCTCCAAACACACCCACGTCACCCCGCTTCTCCTCCAGCTTCACTGGCTGCCAGTCAACTTCAGGGTTCATTTCAAGATCCTGGTTCTGGTCCATAGGGCCTTACATGGACAAGCACCATCTTACATTGGTGATCTTCTTAGTCCCTACACCCCCAGCAGGTCCCTGAGGTCCAGTGATCAAAGCCTACTGGTTGTGCAGCACCAGGCTAAAGGTCAAAGGTGACAGATCATCTGCTGCTGTGGCCCCCAGACTCTGGACCTCTCTCCCCCTGAGCCTGAGATCAGTGGACTCAGGGGTCTCCTTTAAAAGCAGCTGAAGACTCACTTGTTCAAGCTGGCTTTTGTATGACCTTCTTCACCTCTCTCTCTTTATTCTGCTCTCCCCACCTATTCCACCTTCCTCAGGATCCACTGATTTCCCTCTTTCCTGTTCACTCTCTCTCTTTCTTAACATTTTTTCTTTTAAATCCCAATTGCTTATTCTTGCTCATTTTAAATATATTTTTAAACATTTTCTAAATGCTTTATTTTTTAAATTTTACAATTTTTTACATTTTTTGTTTTTGTGAAGCGCCTCATGATTTTTATCTTGAGAGGCGCTATAGAAATGATATTTTCTTCTTTTTCTTCTTCTTCACCCACCACCCCATCTATTATTTATTCATCCCTCCATGTTGAATCATGAAAAAATGTTTCTGTAGGGATTTAATTGAGTAAAACAAACATCCGACTGACTGAAAAGTCAAAGTGAGGCTGAGGCGTCATCCTTAGCTGCCTTCATAATAAATGTTGTGATTACTTTGTGAACAGAAGAGCATCCAGTTTTCTGTAAACCCCAAAGAAGCAGCTGATGTTGGAGAACTTGGAGTCTCTGATGTCATAGGTCATGTAAACATGGTGTCTTCTCTTCATCAGCACACTCTCCAGGCTTTCTCAAGTCCTTCTTCAAGGCCCTGGTACTTCTCTAGCTTCTCGTGTCCCTTGTTCCTGACGTTGCATCACTTGGTTCCCCATCACCATTTTGTCAGTCTGGATCTGCAAGTCCCACAGGAGCTTGGCTCTCTCGTTCTCTACCACCTTAGAGGGTTTTACTCACTTTGACCTTGGGGCTCCCAGGCCATACTCTGCACAGATGTTCCTGTACACGATGCCAGCCACTTGGCTGTGGCGTTCCATGTAAGCTTCCGCTGCAGCATCTGACTCCCTGCAGGTGTGGTGGTATGTCTCAGGCGCCTCTAGCCCACACCTTGCCTGGCGTGGTAGGTGTTGGCCTCTGTTGCTCTGGTGTTCAGTGCCTGATCCTGTGCAGCCATGATGAGTGTATCTGTCTTATATAAAGTTTATTTCAGTCACAATAAAGGTTCTGGTGTAAGCCCGACCCCTGACCCCGAACCCAACTATTTCAAAGCTTGAAGTAAAACACAAAATACGAGATCAACAGGAAGTGACCAGAAGAATCTTTTGCTTCTGTGCTGCTAAACAGGAACGCAAACACAATCCCACTGCTATGGATGATGGATCGATGACAGGTGGATAGAAAACAAACTTCTGTCCCTTCAGACTTTTCGTCTTCGTCCGTTTAACATCAGAGTCGCTGTTTGGGAGGTGAGGAGGCGTGGCCTCAGAGCGATGATGTTCCTGCCTGCAGCAGCAGGTAAATACGAGCTGCAGTCTGCTGACTGAAGGTCTTTGTGTTGTTTTTCTCAGACAGGTGGAACCAGGTGATTGTTGCTCTGATTTGAGGGGTTGTTGTGGTCCGATGATGAACTGGTCTGATGGAGGTCTGCAGCCACCTGATCTCCAGCTGAACGTTTAGACCTTTAATCAGGTTTGGAGTCAACCCTGCTTTTCCCCGACGTGTTTGAGGCTGATTTAAAGACATCTTTGTGTTTCTGCCGGGTCTCATTAGAACCTCACGACTGTTATTTTCTGCTCTGATCCGGTTTTTCTGCAGGTGGACGTGTGGCTCCGCGGCTCCATCTCCACCTGAGGTTTCCATCATGAATGAAAAGCTGCAGCTTGTGCTTGTGCTCCAGGGTCTGAACGAGTCACTGAGCAACCGTCAGGTCTACTCCACCCTGGCTCTGACGTCCTATCTGCTCACGGTTTGGGTCAACCTGGTGCTTGTGGTCACGGTGAGCCTGGATAAGGCGCTGCACCAGCCCATGTACATCTTCCTGTGTAACCTGTGCTGTGCTGGTGTCTGTGGAGCCTCCAGCTTCTACATCAAGCTGCTTCATGACCTGCTCTCTGAGGAACACCTCATCTCCTACGTGGGCTGCTTGACACAGATGGTTGTCTCGTACGCCTACGTCTTCAGTCAGTTCACCAGTCTGACTGTTATGGCGTACGATCGATACCTGGCCATCTGCCAGCCGCTGCACTATCACACTCTGATGACGTTTCAGAAGGTGGTGGTGCTGCTGTTGCTCACCTGGACCTTCTCGCTGCTGGAGTCGCTGGTCGGTATAGTCCTGACGTCCCAGCTGCCGCTCTGCAGCCGCTACATCAATGGGATAATCTGCACCAACTGGGAGGTGGTGAAGCTCTCCTGCTCCGACACGACCGCCAACAACCTGTATGGCTTCCTGATTGTGTTCCTTCACACGTCACAGACCGGACTCATCCTGGTCTCCTACGGCCACCTGATCCGCACCGCCACTCGCTCCGAGTCCGACCGCAGGAAGTTTGCTCAGACGTGCACGCCCCACCTGATCACGCTGCTGGTGTTCTCCACGTCGCTGCTGTTAAACCCGCTCTACTCCCGTTACGGAGGCCCGGAGGGGCCGCTGCAGAGCGCGATGGCAGTAGAGTTCCTTGTAGTCCCTCCAATCATCAACCCAACAGTCTACGGCATGAAGCTGCGGAAAATCAGGGCCCGGATCCAGGTTCGGTTCTGCTTCTGGCTCTCCGACAGACTGGAGACCCAGCAGGATCGCTCATAAACACACAAACTGTAGAAATGTCTGAGAGTAAAAGACTCGTTCCTGAAAACGTTTTAAAACTTTTAGATAAATGTTTGTCTCCTTCACAATAAAAGTCTTCAGACAAATTACAGATTAGTTTAATTAATACCAACAACTTTTTAATCCAACATTATTCCTACTGTAACGGAATGAAATGACTGTTTTCCACCTAAAAGTGATTTCCCCCTCTCCTCAGCAAGAACTAGTCTGCATGAGACTGCCTCAAGGTCATGCATCTGCCTCTAAACTGCTTCCTTTCCAGCTCAAGAGAAGAATGAAGACAAAGGACTCTCTCCTTTTAATAAATCAAAGAACTCTGTTTTTAATAAAGCTAATCAAACAAAGTGTTAGTCAATAATAAGATGTTGACCAATGTGTGAAATAGGGTTAGGGGGGGGGGGGTCGGTAGGTTCGCTGGAATTTTTTGACAATTAAAATTGCGCCCACATTTTCTAAGTTAAACACATCTCTTTTAACAATGGTAGTTTCTGCATCCTACTTCAGCCCTCTCCCCCCTCCCCCTGCGCAGCAGCCGCAAACTCACTGATGCGCCTGCAGCCTCTCGGAGTTCCTGCTGCTCTAAACATTAAAATAATTATTTCATTTTCTGTTCCTCACTTCTGATTACCTTCAATGGTGTCTGTTTGTTGCAACCAGGTTTTTATTTGACTATTTTTCTGTCCTGTCTGTTTATTATCTTCCTGCATCTCCTCTCAATCCTAAAGAAAAACTGCTACCTGGGCTCATATATATTCACTTCATGAGTTACCTTTGAACTGCAGTTCTAAAAGATCTACCGACCGTAAAAACAGCGGAGTGCCGCTGCTCGCCGGCCGACTACAACGGGACCGTTTTTGCTGCGGAGTTCATGCCGGAGCGGAGCGGAGATAGTGGAATCTTGGGGGTGCGTCACCGGAGGACAACAGGTGATGTGCCTCGCTCCGCAGCAGCGAAATGCATCAGGCACAAATAACAGACAGAAAACATGAAAGGAAATGAGCCGACATGAACGATCGCGTGTTTAATTTGTTTTTGAGATGGTGACACCTGATTTGGCGGTGCTCAGGACGCAATGTCTGGAGCGCACGTCAACGATCAGAGCTTTGCATGCACAAACTGGTTAAGATTAGGATGGGGGTGAGGGGAAGGTTAGATTGCAAGAGCGAAAAGGTCACAGTTTGGTTAAATGTCCGTTTTACCGCCGGTGTCAGTACCGCACAGCGCGTCGCCTCCGCCTCGATCCAGACGCGCAGGGGCTCATCACCTGCTGTCTTTTCCGAGGACTGCATCTTGTCAGTCATTATCACGTGACAGCGACTAGTTGATGACAGGCATAAAAAGTCACTACAGAGCCATGAAGTCGACTAGTCGATTATTTCGTACAACCCCTAGTGTGAAATGACAATGTTATGATTAGTGTTTTAATAAGTAATATGACTTTAATCTAGAGCACTAGACATCCTGATCACACGTAATGTAAACACATGACACATTGTTTACTCATCCAATCAGAACCTTCCTTTCTGAAGCGTGGCATAGTCTCTGTGGCGTTTATAAATCTGCCAACTTTGATTCGACCAGAAATTAAAACATCCAGATTAATAAAACCAGTCCCCACGCCATCTTAGATCAGTTCACTGAGTTCTCTACAGTTCACCGCATGCTAAGAGAAGTATCGGACCGGCCACCCGAACTTCCTTTTTAAGCAAAGAAAAAACAAGCTGGATAAAATCTGTTGCACTTTACCAACCAAGCAACGGTTCCTTTCAGAATAAAAGCTGAACTCACTGACCCTCAGGGTCCATCTGATGCTGTCAACCAACTGTCGCTTTTTACCTGGAGACAATCCAAAGACTAGTCTGTCGTACTGCTGACGCAGTTTCATCGGCTCCGGTACCGAAAGGGGGGTCCGAGGACCTGGCAGTCTGGATCTGTACGGAGGTCTCATCTGAAGGGTATGTGTGGAGCGACAAGATGGCGTCTCATGTGTTTACGAAACTCCGATCAAACTCTGATCATAGCTAAAAGCAAAACATCAAAACATCATTCAGACTTGCTTCTCCGGATACGAGAGTTCTGATGACAACATCACTCACACATACACCATCCATCTCACGTCTCATTCATGCTAAGATCCATCCATTCACTTAGAATTTAGAGTTAGTCTTGTTTAAAATTGTTTAGAAATAAATCTTCTTAAACGTTTAAAAAGGTGACTCTCTTCTCTTGTCTCTCAGTTAATACAAGTGTTACATAATCCCTGCAATAAAAAGATCCAATCTTCTGGTTAACCCTTTGATGCATAATGGTCACTACAGTGGACAGGTACTCAAAATTGTTATTTATTTATTTTTGCTACTAAGCACAGCTGTTGAAGACTTTATTGCATTTGAGCCCCTCCATTTGGACTTCAGTAAGCCAAGCCAACATATTTCATGCTCAGAATGCACTGTCCACTGAGGTGGACATGTAATAAATTATTTGTAAATTATAAAATTTTACAAAAAATATTTGAAATTTGTTTCATTCACACCTAGACGAATGAAAAAAAATGTTAAAAATATCATGGTAGAAGATTTCATAATTCATGCATCAAAGGGTTAAAACAACCCAACGGTCCGTAAGATTGATTTCATATTCACTATGGAATCTTACGTCTCATGGTTCATTAAATAGATGTAAACTAACTCCTTACACTACGGATTTGTAAACAAAACCTTAACGTGTTTTTGAGTTTAGGCGTTTATTTTCTGCAGATGGGACGATGAAGTGCCGAAACGAGTTTGATGTTAAAAATGTTCTTATTTCATATAAATGTAAAACATTTGTGTCAGAATAAACTAAAGAACAAAAATAATTAATAATTTACTGATAAATAAAAACCAACAGCTAAAATCTTTGACTTTGGGTTTATTTTGATCAGAGAAGCACTGAAACTGCAACAATACAAACTCGATCAGCTGCTGGTTCAAAACAGGAAGCGGCACGAACTTTACCAAAATAAGAGACTGTGTTGCACTGAACAGCATTATGATACAAATATAAAAAATAAATAACTCCAAAACAACCTGATAAACAAAAAGTTCAGAGTGCACGTCAGGCACCGGCCAGCTGATTTCAGCAACAAACACAAAAAGTTTCCTTAAACAAAAAGCCTGAAATGATCATGTGATTGTCAGCTGGTTTCGTCAACATCTTTCATAGTTAGCATCCAGGAATCAACTCCCAGAATGCACTGCTGTGAGCCGTGGCCGGACGAGAATAACAGAAAAACAATTAAAACAAACTTTTTACGACTGAATTAAAACCAAAACAATCATCAGATAAAAATGAAAACTCATCAGATCAACCAATCAGACGGCAGGTGTCGAATGAACAGGAAACGGAAAACATCTTCATTTAGGATTAAAACGCAACGAACTTATTGTTTGAACATCAAACAAAAATGGTTCTAAAAAAGACAAATTCCACCTGCAGCCACAGTTTCATCAGCTGTTATTATTGATCAGCTGTTTCTCTGAGCTGATTGATCTCTAGCCCGCCGACCAATCACACGGCAGCTGAACTTACCCATCGCGCTTCTGTTGCAGGGGCAAGAAGCAGGAAGCACACAAATCAGAGTGACGCTGAAAATGGATGCATTATCTTTGCATGGGTTCAGGTCAGACAAACAGGATATGATGTCACCATCAGAAAAGGAGGCGGAGCTAGATGATCAGATGGTTCTTGTCAGGCTGGAGAAACTCATTCAGCAGAGCGGCTGTCACCCCCTGAAGCTCCTCCTCTAGTCTGCGCACATCACTGAAGATAGGAACAGTGATGAGGTCACGACAGGCTCCGCCCACTCTGAGGAAAGGTGTACCTAGGGTTAGAGCTCACCTTTGCCCTGGTGCTGCACAGAACTCTGCATAATATTTGATCTTTGGTTCAGTGCCGCTCGTTCTCAGCGTGGCCACCACGCCATTCTGCAGAGTGAAGGTGATCATCTGACTGTTCCTCAAGACAGGAAGTACCTGGAGACACAGACAGGTGATGGAGACACAGACAGGTGATGGAGACCCTACCAATAAGGTAGCTGTCTCAGGACTGTGTGTGGTTCTTCATTGTGGTTCTCTTACCGATCTGAGGTCAGCGTGGCTGCTGTCGTATCCCGTGGTTACGTCTCTGACATGAATGACGCACAGGCCGCCGCAGACCTTCGGGTACAGACCGTCGCCCTCGAAGTTCCTGATGCGACTGAAGATCCTTTGGATGGTGGGGGGGTCGTTACAGGTCACGTAGGAGGTCTTGGACAGGTGGTAACCATACCTGGAGACAGGAACTCTCAAGTGACTATCAAAATAAAAGAGGGAGTTGAACTGCCGCACAGGAGAATTTATCTGCAAACGTGAGACCTGATCAGAACTAAAGTCGAGCACCAGGGTCAGCTAGAACCAGAACCAGAACTCGAGAAGCACCCTAACCTCCATCACACACGCACCAAAGTGTGTGCATACACAAACGTACAAGAACACACAAACATGCACACATGAACTAACACGTTTTCACAATAAAAGCTGACTCATGTCAGAATATTGAACCATGCTGCCTTTCACAATAAAGCACCCCTTATGAACCTAAACTCCAAACAGAACTCTAGACCGCATGGTGGTGCAGTGGTTAGCACTGTTGCCTCGCAGCACGAAGGTCGCAGGGTCGAAGGTCGCAGGGTCGAAACTCGGCAGCGGGTGGAGTTGCGTGTTCTCCCAGTGCATGCGTGGGTTTCCTCCGGGTTCTCCGGTTTCCCCCACAGATCCCAACATGCCCTATAGGTTATAAACTGTAGGTCGCTTTGGATAAAAGCAGGGTATCTGCAGGTTTAAGGGAGCCAAATTTAAGACTTTTTAAGACCTTTTTTAAGGCCACTTTGACCAAATTTAAGCTATTTTTAAAAATAAATTTAAGCTATAATCTCCAGCTATTGCCTGGAACCGGTGCTAACCACGTCGTAAACGTGGGATTAGCCATCCATTACCATTAAACTTCCCCTTCCCGGTGGTGCAAGCTCCCACTAGCTTAATCAGCTAATGTGCTCATCTAAAAATTGTCGTCTCATCTTCCTCCGCTTATCCGGGTCCGGGTCGCGGGGGCAGCATCCCAACTAGGGAGCTCCATACCGTCCTCTCCCCGGCCACCTCCACCAGCTCCTCCGGCAGGACCCCAAGGCGTTCCCGGACCAGATTGGAGATGTAACCTCTCCAACGTGTCCTGGGTCGACCCGGGGGCCTCCTGCCGGCAGGACATGTCCGAAACACCTCCCCAGGGAGGCGTCCAGGAGGCATCCTGACCAGATGCCCAAACCACCTCAACTGACTCCTTTCGATCCGGAGGAGGAGCGGTTCTACTCCGAGTCCCTCCCGAATGTCCGAGCTCCTCACCCTATCTCTAAGGCTGAGCCCGGCCACCCTACGGAGGAAACTCATTTCGGCCGCTTGTATCCGCAATCTCGTTCTTTCGGTCATTACCCAAAGCTCATGACCATAGGTGAGGATTGGGACGTAGATCGACCGGTAAATCGAGAGCCTGGCTTTCTGGCTCAGCTCCCTCTTCACCACGACAGATCGGCTCAGCGTCCGCATCACTGCAGACGCCGAACCAATCCGCCTGTCGATCTCCCGATCCCTCCTACCTTCACTCGTGAACAAGACCCCGAGATACTTAAACTCCTCCACTTGAGGTAGGACCTCTCCCCCGACCCGGAGTTGGCAAGCCACCCTTTCCTGGTCGAGAACCATGGTCTCAGATTTGGAGGTGCTGATCCTCATTCCAGCCGCTTCACACTCACACTAAAAAAAGCCCCCTTTCACAACCAACTGAAGGTGTACGGTTCCGCTTATGCCAACATCGTACGCAAAAAATGCTGAACACTAACAAAAAATTCATGAAAATTTTATAGAAATAAAAGAATCTTGTTTATTGGGTCTTTGGTAATTTAAGACCTTTGGAAACTGTATTTAAGGATTATTTGTCATTTTTAAGGATTTTTAAGGCCTTAAATTTGGAAAAGCCAATTTAAGACTTTTTAAGGACCCGCGGATGTCCTGAAAAGCGTCTGCCAAATAAACATACATACATAAACATAGACCGGATCAGAACCCGGCTGTTCATAGATCCGTTCTGGTTTAAGCATAACCCTGACCCATCAGAACCAGCAGAGATCAGATCAGCTCTGCCCCCTGCTGGTTAAACAGCCGCGATTCCGTGAACGGCTCTTACCTGAACGATCAGAAGAGCCAGAACCAGAGTCCAAAGCTTTAACAGAACCTGAAGCAGACCGGAGACAACCTCGCTGAGCCTTGGATCCATGCTGCAGAACACTTACGTTGTGTAGATGTTGTGCAGCTGCTGGTTCAGACTCAGGTTCTGGTTCTGAAGATACGCGGCCATCTCTGCCACAACCACGGCAGCGCTCACGCCGTCCTTCTCAGGAACCATGCTGCCACACAGGAACCCTGGAAACAGAACCTGGTCTGTGGGTTTCACTTTGACACAAAAACTAATGACAGAGGGAGTCTGGAGCGTGGACCGGGTCCAAAAGAATCTCCTGAAACAGGAAACAGAACCAACAGAAAACTTTCTCACCTATTGACTCCTCGAACGCAAAAATGACCTGATTCCCAGTTTTGGAAAGGTCATGGATTCTGTTCCCGATCCATTTAAAGCCCGGGAGCGTTTCCTGTGGAGACACCCAGAACCATCAGGTCCGTTTAAACAGAACTAGCACAGGAAGGAACCTGCTGAGAAACGATCAGCCAAACCGTTGGACCTCGAAGTGGAAGCCTTCGGCCCGAGCCAGCGCCCGCAGGATCTTTGACGACACGCTGGTGGCCAGCATGTAGACCCTCTGAGTGTCAGCCGGGTCCGGATGGTTCTCCTTCCAGTTGAACAGCATCCACCAGCCCAGGAGAGCGGCCAGCTCATTTCCTGTGAACACCTTCCAGCCACACCTGTAACACAGGTAGGCACGCACCTTTACACCTGGGACCTGGGCGCCTCGGAGCAAACGTGATGTACCTGTCGCCCCGTTCCGCCACGGCCAAGCGGTCGGCGTCAGGATCCGTTGCCAGGACAACCCGAGCGTTCTCCCGCTCTGCCAGAAGAAGGGACAGCTCCTGGAACAGCCAAGAGGAATCAGCCGGACGCTTTCAAAATAAAAGCACCAGCAGACCTCCGGAGATCGGACTAACCAGAACGGACTCCCCCTCCTCTGGGTTCGGACAGCGGACTGATGAGAAGTTTGGGTCTGGGTCTTTCTGTTCAGGGACGGGGATGGGCGGAGCAAACCCGAACACCTGGAAGGCCTCCTGGACGAAGGAGTGTCCCACTCCGTGGAAAGATGAATGGACGAACTTTAATGGACAGCTGCTGTTCAGACTCCTGAGACGTCACAGATGAGACCGTTATGTTCTGCTCACCGGACTCGGACACAAACGTGGCAAACAGGAAGTGACCTGTGGAAGCAGAGGGAGGCGAGTTCGTCCATGTAGCAGCTGTTGATGTGGATCAGAGGGTCCGTCCTCAAAGAGCTCCCATCCACCAGGTCCTGGTCCCAGCAGGAGGCGCTCCACGGCTCCAGATGCTCCTCTATACAGCGCAGGACCTCCTTGTCATGGGGGGAAGAGATCTGAGCGCCGTTACACCAGTACACCTGTAGGAGGAGGGGGGTTGAAAAGTTCTTCGTCTTCTGCCGTTCCCTCAGCAGGATTATTAGAACCTGACAGAAATCATTCTGGACTGAACAGCAGAACCTCCACAACACCTGAGCAGAACCTAGGTCCATCCTGCTGGGATGGATTAGTAGGGTCGGGCATCGAGCGTCGACTGGAACCGGTTACAGCTGATAGTTTTTCCTGGAATCTTTCAAAGTTTTTTATTTGGATTCCTAGTATGCTGACGGAAGAGGAATCCGCGGCCGATCTCCGTGAAAAATAAACGTGATCCGCAAATTGTGATCAACGCTTTTCAGAGCTGATCACACCAGCTGTCTGTGTGCAGCACGAGTCCCCCCTCCCCCACCCGGACATAAACAAACGTGATGTAAACTTTATCTCCTGCAGCGTAGAGGAAACGTGTTAAATACGTCAACTCGGCGGATTTAATAGAAGCTTAAAGAACAAACTCTGGACGGTGTGAGGTGAGTTTGTCTCACTGCAGGAATAAAAACACACACGGAGCGTCAGCAGTCAGACGCAGCCGCTCACCAACACTCGTGTGTGTGTGTGTGTGTGTGAGCGTCAGAAGGCTGAACAATAACCTGTCATCATGCTAGAGCAGCTTCTCTGTGGTGGACCACACCAGCTTCTGCCACAATAATTATAATAAATAACATTTTAATTTCCTTTCTGAACTGTTTCTGTTGAGTTTTAATGTTTAAAATCTGTTAGATTGAAGAAGAAGAAAATATCGTTTCTATAGCGCCTTTCAAGATAAAAATCACGAGGCGCTTCACAAAAACAAAAAATATAAAAAATTGTAAAAATATAAAAAAGCATTTAGAAAATGTTAAAAATATATTTAAAATGAGTAAAAATAGACAATTGTGATTAAAAAAATGTTAAGAGAGAGAGAGAGTGAACAGGAAAGAGGGAAACCAGTGGATCCTGAGGAAGGTGGAATAGGTGGGGAGAGCAGAATAAAGAGAGAGAGGTGAAGAAGGTCATACAAAAGCCAGCTTGAACAAGTGAGTCTTCAGCTGCTTTTAAAGGAGACCACTGAGTCCACTGGTCTCAGGCTCAGGGGGAGAGAGGTCCAGAGTCTGGGGGCCACAGCAGCAGATGATCTGTCACCTTTGACCTTTAGCCTGGTGCTGCACAACCAGTAGGCTTTGATCACTGGACCTCAGGGACCTGCTGGGGGTGTAGGGACTAAGAAGATCACCAATGTAAGATGGTGCTTGTCCATGTAAGGCCCTATAGACCAGAACCAGGACCTTGAAATGAACCCTGAAGTTGACTGGCAGCCAGTGAAGCTGGAGGAGAAGCGGGGTGATGTGGGTGTGTTTGGAGGACTTGTTACTGACAGCAGCTGCGTTTAAGTTTCACTTCCTGTTGTGACTGAATGCTGCTGCAGCATGGAGGTGTAGTTCTCAGTCACCCTGGACATGATCATCCTGAGAGTTTTAGCTGAAAACAGCTGGAAGTTTCTGGATATGTTGGAGACATTTAGCCTCTCATCCCAGAGGCTGCTTCCAGACTTTGGTTGTGGTCAGAAACAAACACACTGGTTGTGCTGCAAGTCTTTTTCTTTTGTTCTCCAAAACATGTTTCTGTCTAAATGAAGGTGACGTTGTTGTTCATGGAGTTAAAATTCATGTTGAAGTTAAGATTACTTCATCCAGGAGGACCTGTGGTTAGCTGGCTCGTGTAAAACGTGTCACGTCTTGAAAGAATCGGAATCGGGAATCGATAGGAACCGGAATCGAAACAAGGAATCGGAATTGTTCAAAATCAAACGATGCCCAACCCGACGGATTAGGGTTAGGTCAGGTTCAGGTCTCACCTTGTATCCGTTGTCCTCTTTGGGATTGTGAGAAGCAGTGATCATCACTCCAGCTGCTGCTCCCAGTTTCCTCACCGCAAAAGGCTGGAAACACAAAGTGAAGATGTGACGACACACACACACACACACACACACCTGGAGAGTCAGGTGATCAAAGCGCGCCGAGTCTGGAGAGGGATGTGACGCGTTTGTAACCGGAACAGAAGCTGACCGCTTCACAGGTCCAACAGGAGGTTCTGATTCTGGTAGTACTGTCTTTGCTGGTCTCAGATCAGATTATCTATCTACAGTTTTCCCTGTGCAACACCAGTTTCTGAGCCGGGACCAGAACCCCTCCCTGCTTCCATCAGACTGAGCGCGTTGATGGCTACAAGATCCACAACCCCACACAGGAAGTGATGCGTTAAAGATTCCTCACCACATATGGTGTGGGGACAACGGAGGAGAACAGATGGACGGGGACGTCTCGGCTGAGCATCACGGCAGCTGTTAGCTTGGCCAACCTGGACACACACACACGCACACACACACACACGCACACACACACACACACACGCACACACACACCATTAAGCACATTTCTCCAAAGTCAATGGGGTCAAATTATTCCATTTAGTGAGTTTTTAATCAATGAAAGCAGAAGAGTTGTGTTGCTGTTAGACACACACACACACACACACACACACACACACACACACACACACACACACACACACACACACACACACACACACACACACACACACACACACACACACACACACACACACACACACACACACACACGCCTCCAACAGACTTCTGCCTCCTGAAACAGGCGTGCCAGAACTTTTCATATGCAGAAAACGACTCATTAGGTGTCCATTAGTAGAGGCAGGAACGGCGACTGGAGTTCAGGAGAACATCTGTGACGACGTCGCTGACAAACAGATCAGACCCACTCCACCAGACAGTTCTCCTCCATCACAGCTGACCCGACTCCAACAGGACTGACAGACACCTGCTACACTAACCAATGTCACATCCAGGTGCCGATCGTCAGGAGTACCTGATGCTGCTGCAGCCACTCTCCTCCTGACCTCGGGTGTCAAAACCGATAACCACGCCCCTGCTGTTGAAGTCAGCAAAACATCTGCACAGGTACGCGTGCAGACCCTGAGGACAGGAGACAAGCAGGTTAGGCTGTCTCACCAGGGCCAGATGTTACCTAAACCAGGTGTCGGGCGTCTATCTGGACTCACCTGGGTGGACTGGATGACAGTGAGATCATTGATCCGGTTAAAGCCTGCTCCCATGGGGGCTCTGAGCCCAGCTGTTCCAAAGCTCAACCTGCTGCAGAACCTGGACCTCAGGTCATCCAGACGGCCCGCGGCCACCAGAGAGTCCACCTGAGCCCGAGTCCTGGGGTTCTAGAGGAGACCAAGGAAAGCTCAGCTAAAGCCCCATTCCCATCTGTACCGGGTCGGCCCGGGCCGGGTAGCCCCAGTCGGCCCCAGCCTGGCCCGGTTGATTCCACACATCCTTGCCTTAAGCCCATGTGGGCTGATTCTACCCACCAATCAGAGGCTTGCTCTAATGGAAGGTGTGAATGGGCTGATTCTACCCACCAATCAGAGGCTTGCTCTAATGGAAGGTGTGAATTTGCTGTCAGCAGTGGGCGTGTTGGCCCTGGTCGGCCTGAAGCAGTACCCCTCGGAAGAGGGCCGAGAATGAGCCTTGGTTGGCCCGGGAAAATTCCAGGCCACCCAGATATGTAAACAACCTATGCTACCCGGCCCGGGCCGACCCGGTACAGGTGGGAATGGGGCTTAACATAGTTTCAGGAAGTTTTATCACTCACACACACACACACACACCCTCTCACTCGATCACACACACACACCCTCTCACTCGATCACACACACTCACTCACTCTCACACACAGCCAAGTTTCTGTCCTAGGGATAAAGATAGATTAATTTTCCTGATAGTTGATATTTCCGGAAGAGGTCAGCAGGATGACCTTTGACCTCACGGGATTCCGGTGAAATGTGAGGTGATTGCAACCGGACACTCACCCGGTCCCAGGTTAGCCATTGCTGCACCGCGGTGTCCAGCTGCGGGTCACCGGTAACCGTCCGGCTCTGGCCCCCGGTGTCTGTGGTGTCCGCCATGCTAACGGACAGCAGTAAACGGCGCTCGGCTATCAGACGAGGGCGAACAGGTGTCCGGTTGGTCCTCACGGTGGCCTCAGCTCGCCACTTTAACCGGACACCACGCGCCCACCGGCGGTGCGTCGGCTCCACTGCTCTGCTGCCGCTGATGTAGGTGGCCACGTCTGTGCCTGATCAAAAATACTCAATACGTAAATAAACCCTTTTCCTTTAGTCTGGCAGAGAAAAAAGTGATAGCAACCCTTTAGAACCCAAACCTAAACAGATTGGAAAAAATACATCAAAATGTAGAACATTTTAACCCTCTGAAGGGAGGCGCTGCAGATTTGCAACGTTAAAACCTACCTAGCTCGTACAAACGTGTTTCATGAGCATTTTTTAACTCAGAAGTTCCCCTGAAGGACTTAGTTGTTCGTCCTTTTATTAAAACTTATTTGGAGCCTGTGAGGGTTAAAATAAAATGAAGTTGAATACATTTCAATATGAACAGAATGTCACTTGGGGGTTTCAAACTTGAATATTTGACTCAAGAAGCAATTTTGCAGATGTTTGACATCAGTGTCACCCATGGGGTCACCACGGGTCATGGGAAGGCACATTTTAATTTTCAGAGGCAAAATCGAAGCTGTAATGTAAAACAATTATTTTTGTTATAAGCAAAACATCTGAAAGAGATTGATAAAATGTGGAAAACCGATTTGTTTTAACTGATTTAATTTTTACATTTATTTTGGCTGCAGAACAATTAACATATGTTAAGTGTGTCTTTTAAACCATAAAGCTTATAGGTGGCCAAACATATTTGGCTAATATTACATTCATGGTTTAATACTGTTCGTCTTTACGTTGGACTGCTCTGGCATGTATACAATATCTATTGGAGAGTTACTTAAACTTTATTGTCAATAACAGTGATTTGGGGTTTCTATTTTTATGTAGTTATAAAATTTTACTTATCTTCAGTGTTGCCCTTTAAACCATTTAATTATAAGCAAATCATTTTAATTTTTCACTTATCTGATTAAACAAGTTTATCAAAATAAATCAACTGTTGTGGTCAAACATTGACTCAGTTTTTCTGAAGCTTTTTAATTTTTATTTTACCAAATCGTTTTATTTGAGTCTGGTTTTTATTTTATTCATTTGAGTAGTGTATACATTCATTGTGTATTTCAAATAAATTCATGCTTTACCTGTTGAAGGCAAAATATAGACTTTTTCCTTGTGATTTTTTTTCATTTCATTATTAAATGAATGTTTAGGTGCTGTTGTGTATTTATTGGTCTTTGAACTAATAACTAAATATTTATGTACTTTAAATCTGACATTTAGAAATTATAAACATATGTTGGTAACATTTAGCAACTATTTACTTTATAAAAATAATTTATTAAGAGTAAAACCTCCAAAGTGTAAAAGGGATTTAGTTTCGTTTTGTGGCCGCCAGGGGGCGTATGAACGGATATTTTTGCAGTGCTGTTAGCTAGCTGCTAATAGTGTACACCCCCTGGCATATGTTTCATCTTTGTTCAATTTTGTATGCAATTTGATTGTATACTTTCACTTTGTTCAATAAAGTTTTGAAAAAAAAGCTAGCTGCTAATAGTTCCTGCTTTAGCTCCTTATTTTAATCTTGAACAGATAATTAAATAGATTAAGTTTTAGTAGTTGAGTAGTTTGTATTGCCGTTTTTCGTGCTAATTCTATGCTATTCTAATTTTAAACCCGTAGTAATTTTTAATGGTTTTATTTTGAAGGAATCGAAGAGCTGACTAGTTTGATCTTTATGAACGCTCCATGCAGTACCAATTTTTGTCCAGTAGAGGTCGAAAATAATTAAACTCGAAATGAGTTTTCATTTCCAGTTTTTTATTCTAGTTACTGGTTCCCACTCAGTTGACGTAAATTCATGAAACGTTTGCGTACCAGTGGCCCTAGGGCCAGTCCACCACGACACACAACTGTTACACAAATTTTATTTTAATTGTTAGCTAAATGACGAGACTAAAAACACTGTAGCATTTTATTTTGAAAAAACTTACAGGAAGAGTTTCAACAAACTTTACAAGTGCGGTTCTCTCTTTACCCCCGATTCTCTTTTATTGTTCTTTAATATTAATTATTCACAAGAGGTAAAAAAAACATTAGATATTTTCCAACTTAGTTGAGATAAGGAGGCTAAAATATCATTTGGGGGGGGGGGGGGGGGGGGGGACCAGAGTTCAGTTCTAGCGTATCACCACTGGAGGGCGTCAATTCCCCCTTGTCGCTGACGTAAGATCAAAGCTGTAGTTAGGAGAGTGTGTATCTGTGAAGTCTTACGGATTTATTAGGGGTCTAGTTATTAATACACAATTACATTTTCCTTCATTTTGCTCCATTATGTTTGGACTTATTTTCTTTTATTCTTAGAATAACAGATTTGTTAATGTTAATTAGCAACATTTGAACAACAACAAGTTTGGTTTTTCTACCCAAAGTCAAATTGAACAAAAGCGTCCGATTAAAGTTAATATTTAATAAATGAATGGACTTTGAAATAAGACACTTTAATCTAAAAGCAGATTTTTACCTGGTTAAATAAACACGAATAATAAATCTAAACATAAATGTTGGACTTTTTAAAATAGTACCATAAACTTTACTTCCAATTATTTAAAAAATGGATAATGAAAAAAAAAAGTTCTGAAAACATATTTTTCAGCGTTTTGCTCATAAAACATCTTAGATGATGTAAATAAATCATCACCAGCCTGAAGATCAGAAGGATCTGCCTCAGACCAACATCTAAACCATCATCTGGTTTCTCTCCCGAGTTTTATGGATGTGCAGCCTGGAAGACGTGTCAGAGTAAAGATCTAGAGTCCTCGTTGGGTTTAGGTGTGTCTCCATCAGTCATCTGGCAGTTAAACTGGTCTCCAAAGGCATCCAGCAGGTAAGGGATGGTTTCCTCCACGCTGACGTCTCTCTGAAGCTCCTTGCTCAGTGATGTCACACCTTTACCCTCTATGCCACATGGCACAATATGCTGGAACCACGACAGGTCTGTGTTGCAGTTCAGAGCCAAACCATGAGATGTAACGTACCGCCCACAGTGGATCCCTGTGGACAAAACAAACATGCCGCCTTAAAAACTAAGATACCACCTTAAACGGACTTTACAGACTTTTGAAGTTTTATGCTCGTGATTGCCCCCTCAGGCCAAAAGCGTAACGGCAGCTTCAATAGTAGGATTGTGCGAGAGGCGCGCATGCTGTACGTGCACACTCCTTAACGAAAATAACAGCTGAGACAGACCCTTGTGTGTGTGTGTGTGTGTGCGTGTGTGTGTGTGTGGCCCGGAGGACAGAGGACAGGAGAACGCGCAGCTAATTAATTAAATAATTTGGTTCTGTACCTTTCTCTTCAGCACAGCCGACAAAGGTTTATGATGGGTCAGTCCTCCTGCATGCTCAGATCATTCCCTTCCCTTGCTTGAAAAATTGTTCCAAAATGAAAGTTGAACCCACATCTGTTTTATCTGTGAATTCAATGCCGTTCGGCGAGTCTCAAATAAACATTTGGGCATCTTACTGTAAAAAAATATACCATTAATGTAAAAAAATAAACTCTAAATAAACTATGTTCACACTCAGAACCGAACCCAGGTCTTCTGCATGGGAGTCCGACATCTTACTAGGTGAGTTACGAGGTGAGCTATAGCACCAGTGATGTCATTTGTATCTGTAACATTTATGTCCTTGATGACAGCTGAAACAACGTCAAACCAAAGAACGGTTCGGAGTGAAAATGGCTATTTTGTTGCTAATTTGCAGGAAATATCTAGAAGAAAGTTCTACAGAAAGTAGCTAAGGGTCCTCAGAAATGTAGCTAGCTTTGTCACTAGGCGTTAGGAACAGCGACAAAGTGGCACTGCCACTCTCTCTGCTGCTAAAGCTACGGATAGCAAATGCTACGGGCGATGCCTGAGCGTGAACGCGCATGAAGCAGCCTGCTCGACCCGAGCATCTCTCTTTTTCTGTGATTTTACAGAAAAACAGGCAATCACAGTAAAAATGCCAGGGCTCATTCTACAGGACCAGGGCATTGCAGGAGAACGTATGAAGAAGACATTTATTATTTCTATACATGCTTTGGCTGTCACACTTCCATAATGTCCCTTTAAGACACCAACAAAGGTACTCTGGAGATGCCCAAAGCCACCTAAGGTGCCATCAGCTGTTAAATTAGTATTGAGATGCCTCAATCTGAGTCACGAGTGTCATCGTGTGGATTATAAATGGACCCTTATTAATACTGGCCTGGTATTAATAAGGGTATTGAGATGATAGAACACACACAGTTTCAGAACAGCCAAGAGGGGCTATGATGGTTTCTCAGCTCCCTACATAGATGAGGAGGATGCAGTTTTCCTTCTAAAGGAAAAGACGATTGTTGGGACTGCTCTGCTTACTGCCAACATCATCACACTAGTGGAGCTCCCTTTTGCTCTTGCTAGCATGGAATACTGGTGACACTGGTTTTAATTGTGTCACACCTAGTCCTCAGCATCACCGAGTCAACGGATAGGCAGCAGAAGGCAGCTTCTGACGAGGACTCCGTATTTAGCTCTGCTGCGTTACAGGACCGCTCCTCACGAACGCCGTTTGTTCCCCGCAGGACGACCAAAAGCTGCACACAACTTCACCAGTGTTCCATCAATCCTGAGGATCCAAAGATCATGCAACAGGGACTCCACACTCCACAGCACACTCCTGTGTGTGGCTGTGGGGAGGAAGCAGGTCGAAGACACACAAGAGCAGCAAAAACAACAAAAAATCTGCCATAACAGACAAGCACATAATGCACTGGGACAGCGCACGGAGAACCACACAAATACCAGAGATAGATAACAGAAGAGATCTAAATAAGGAGACGTGGACCCAGGGCCATGAAGGAGTGCACACACTGGACTATTCACAGGACAGGGGGATCGACAAGGGAGGTGCGGTCACTAGAGGGCGACATCGTCCTCTACAGATAAACGGAGATGGGAGTGACGTCACCAACACAGACGACGCTCTGACGAAGGTGACAGTAGTAGCTGAAATGGTCAGTAAGGAGGTAAAAACAAGCTCTACTTCTCTGTGTGTAAAAAAACGGAATCACAGTACCGACGGCACAGAGCTTGTTGTCTCCGACCCAAACTCCAGTGTGAGGCGACGTCACGGCTTCAACGCCAAAGCGACTGCAGAGTGAGATGACGGTTCTCTCCAGCTGACTGACGTACCAACGGACGCTCTGAGAGGACAGAACGGATGTTACAACAAGTCAAGGCAAACGGCCTGGACACCATCTGATTTCAGCCGGATGCATTCTGACCTTCTTGAAGCTGCACAGGTTCAGAATGGGGTAACACACCAACTGTCCCGGTCCATGGAAGGTGATGAGTCCTCCTCGGTTGGTGCGGTAGGTGTCCGCTCCCAGCAGACGAAGCCGGTCCAGCATGGGGTAGGGACTGTGGCGAATCCCAGTGGTGTAGACAGGTGAGTGCTCACACAGCAGCAGAGCGTGAGCCGGACCAGACTGGTGTCGGCTCACATAGAGCTGCTGCAACCGCAGACCTTCTTGATAGGAGACCAAACCTAGACGGACCACCTCCACCAGGGGCCTGCTGGTCTGCATTCAGAACTGCAGACAGAGTTCAGTCGAAGCATGAGTTGTACTGTATCCACTTGTATAGGTTAAATAGCTAAACAATAACAAACCGATTAATCGATTAATCGAAAAAATAATCCACAGATTAATTGATTATGGAAATAATCGTTAGCTGCAGCCCTAACCAAAACCCAGGCAAATAAATTACCCTGACCATTAAAACATGTCCCAAATATTCAGAACCAGCTGTTAACAGGAATCAGAGCGAAAAAACAATCAGTAAAATCCTCCCTTCAGCATTCCTGAGCAATAAGGACAGTTTATTCCATCATTTGGCAAGTAGATGGATTCAAATAGCTGTCCATGGTAAATACCACTAGATGTCATCCAAGAGGATTGTGTTAGAACGCTTCGAGTCATGAAGCGTTTTTGATACAAGCTTCAGTGCTTTAGAAAGCTGAGCTGAGCTTCATTTGGCCATCACTTCAGACAGCTGCTGGCGGGAAAACTGATTTAAACCAACCTGTGGTTCACATCCGGCCGCGGTGCGACCCGGAAACTGCAGCTCGACACGATTTAGTTAGAAATCAAGACAGTTGGATCTCCAAAGTTCACTTTGTGTACATGTAATGTCCTTACCTATCGAACGTCACTGCGTGTTGTCGCTCACTCTTCTGCATCGACATTAATATATGCTCTTCTGCCTCCGAGTTTCCGGTTTCAGTGTGACTTTACGTCGGTATTCAAAATAAAATGATTACTTGAATTTATCAAGTAAACGTACTTGTAAATGTGCCAAGTAAATGCACTAAATCACATGTCTTGAGTCTAATATGGGGCTATGATGTGATGTTTTTTCCTCCGCGGTGGAAACTAGCTTTTGAATTTTGTTTCTGGTTTTATTTTGAAAACGTAGCCCACTCCCATCACTAGAAGCTCGCGCCGCCCCGCGGTGGCGGGCTTTGCGCGTCTATCCTGCGCTCGCGCTGTTTCGGCGGCGGGGCGGGGTTTGTTTTGAGAGTTGACCGTAGAGAGAAGACACCAGGAAAGATGGCGACCGCGGGGTTCGCCAAACATCCTGTCAGCCCGACCGGCACGGCCGCTGCTGGGTCGTCCCGGTTGGTGTCGGGGGCTGGAGCCGCTGGATGCCGGTCCGGGTCCAAACCCCCAGAAAGCACGGCGAAGAAATGCTCAGGCGGCGCTGAGAGTCAGCCCGGTCGCAGCACGGCCTGTCCCCCGTGCCTGGTCCGGAGACTCCCGGGCAGCGAGGACCGACTTCAGAGGAAGAGTGACCCAGAGAGGTGCAGCGGGAAAGCGGGCAGGAGGGAGTCAGAGTGTCGTAGAGGTGAGTAATCTTTAACCGGGGAAGTCCAGGTCACATGCCGGTGAGCTGGCACCGTGAGCGGGATACTGTTATTATATCAATAACCGATAGAAAAACAGAATCCTGTAGATTTTATTTTAATACAGATTTTGTGAAAATATGAGTTGGGAAGTGTCCTTGAACAGCAGCTTTAATACGTCTGAAGCGATGGAAACGCTAGTTGAGCTAATCAATAATCAGACAGAATCAATGAAAACACCGGTAAACAGGTAAACACGTGACCATCCCGAGTCACAGGGTTCAGGTTCTGGTCTCGTTCGGTTTTGGGTCAGTCTGTTCTGGTGGATCAACCCGGACTTGTCCAGACTTGTTCAGCCGCAGCAGGAACCCAGAAACCTTCGTTCTCTGACTTCTTCCATTTAATACATGAAGTTTTCACGCTGAAACATTTTAGTGCAACATCATCTGGTAACCTGGAGAGTACCTGAAACCTGGAGGTAATTGTGCTATTATAATCTTTATATATATATATATATATATATATGTGTGTGTTTGTTGTTTATATACACAGCCCATATATATATATATATATACACAACACACACAACAGTGTGGAACTGTGGACCAGCTCTATACCCTTGCAAGGGTGTGTTTAGTGGATTTGGAGAAGGCTTATGACCGTGTCCCCAGGGGCACCCTGTGGGGGACGCTCCAGGAGTATGGGGTGGGTGGCTTTCTGTTAAGGGCCATTCAGTCCCTTTACCAGAGGAACGTGAGTTTGGTTCGCATAGCCGGTAGTAAGTCGGACCTGTTCCCAGTGAGGGTTGGACTCTGCCAGGGCTGCCCTTTGTCACCGGTTCTGTTCATGACTTTTATGGACAGAATTTCTAGGCGCAGCCGTGGTGTGGAGTGTGTCGAGTTTGGTGGCAGGAGAATCTCGTCTCTGCTTTTTGCAGATGATGTGGTCCTCCTAGCTTCATCCAGCTCTGACCTTCAGCTCTTGCTGGGTAGGTTCGTGTCCGAGTGTGAAGCGGCTGGGATGAGGATCAGCACCTCCAAATCTGAGACCATGGTTCTCGACCGGAAAAGGGTGGCTTGCCAACTCCGGGTCGGGAGAGAGGTCCTACCTCAAGTGGAGGAGTTTAAGTATCTTGGGGTCTTGTTCACGAGTGAGGGTAGGAGGGATCGGGAGATCGACAGGCGGATCGGCTCAGCGTCTGCAGTGATGTGGACGCTGAGCCGATCTGTCGGGGTGAAGAGGGAGCTGAGCCAGAAAGCCAGGCTCTCGATTTACCGGTCGATCTACGTCCCAATCCTCACCTATGGTCATGAGCTTTGGGTAATGACCGAAAGAACGAGATCGCGGATACAAGCGGCCGAAATGAGTTTCCTCCGTGGGGTGGCCGGGCTCAGCCTTAGAGATAGGGTGAGGAGCTCGGACATTCGGGAGGGACTCGGAGTAGAACTGCTGCTCCTCCGGATCGAAAGGAGCCAGTTGAGGTGGTTTGGGCATCTGGTCAGGATGCCTCCTGGACGCCACCCAGGGGAGGTGTTTCGGGCATGTCCTGCCGGCAGGAGGCCCCCGGGTCGACCCAGGACACGTTGGAGAGGTTACATCTCCAATCTGGTCCGGGAACGCCTTGGGGTCCTGCCGGAGGAGCTGGTGGAGGTGGCCGGGGAGAGGACGGTCTGGAGCTCCCTAGTTGGGATGCTGCCCCCGCGACCCGGATAAGCGGAGGAAGACGACGACATACACAACAATGTTGTTATAATTAGTGTCTAAAGAAATGTAAAAGCCTATGAAAGGTCTCTGGGATAAGAAGTTTTTACCAGAGACGTGTGACTTATTTAAACGTCGTACTAGTCTGATAGTTTATATAAAACATGTTGATGAAATTGTTGGCAATAAATCCCCCTCAATGTAATTTCAGCACATATCTTCTTGATAAAACCAGAAGCCTCCAGAATGTCCAGCATCACACACCCTGATGCCAATCCTCCCTGTGACTACCTTTTAGACCGACCGAGGACTCGTTAAGCGGCGTAGACTGTGTGACTTTTCCCCTCCTAGCATCCAGCTCCATCTCAAACTGTACGACTTCCTCGCACAGCAACGCTCACGAGTCACGTTCTCACACTATATGACCAAGTTCTCGGATGCGACCCGGCTGCTCACACTGTACGTGTGATGGCATCATGTCGGACCTTCACGTCCGAAAACCCAGAAGACCAGAGGCTGTTGTGCTGTTAGTGATATTTGTTGTCCTTCGGGCTTGCCGTAGGAGGACGCGCGGGGATTTCTGGGTGTTGGAGGAGGGAGACAAAAGAAAAGTAAAACGATGTTTTGGGATCAGTTTGATTTGGCAAACATGTTTTCTTGAAAGTTCTTTTCATTTTGTGTGGAGAAAAGAGTAAAAATAAAATAAACTATGTGTGCTGATACGAGAATAGATGGCGAGTCGTGATGATGAATGCGCTGTGTGGGCGGCTTTGGGTCAGGGCGCTGTTTCACCAGCGCGATGCCTTCATGACGGGCAACCAAAATATCAAACGTGTTTGATAATCGGTCAACCGCACGATTGCCGATCAGGAGCCGGTCGTGAGGCGTTGATCACCCCCCCCCCCCCCCCCCCCCCCCCCCCCGCGTATACTACACGATGCAAAACTCGCTCCAACATCAAAGATTTCTGCACAAGTGGAAAATCGTCTCAGAACGCCCAGCTTTACCCTGATTACAGAACACTCCCGGGTCCGATGCATCCCGGTGAACACGGCTGTACTAGAGAGTCCAGCTTTTAGTTTCAGTAATGCCCAAGACAAGTTCCGACCCTGTCTGGAGCGGGTCGGTGTCATCAACAAATCACTGCCGTAGTACTTTAAATGGACCTAGCTGGGAGGTTCTGGTGAAATGGAGTTGAGTGGTGAGCCAGGTGTTTCTCATCTGTTTGTCCTCAGAGTTCTTTGTCTGTCCAACTCCCCTCCCAAAGGCTGCAGAGGCTTCTTCAGGCCCGACTGGGAAACACAAGGTGAGTCCAGTTACTGTGTTGTTTCGTGAGGGAACGGTACCGGCCCACCTTGGTACCGGACGATTTTAGGAACGTCATTAAGTTTGTGTTTCGGCAGCTGGTGTCGGAGGACCGAGACGAGGTGAGGAGAAAGAACTCTCTGACCTGTAAAGAGGATTCTGGACCTGTCGAAGAAGCGGTGAGCTCGACACGGGCCGACCCGACTGACGTCTCCTACGCAACGCTGCCGCTTCGCACCAGAACTTCTTCCTCTGAGTTGTTGGTTTGTTTCCAGGGAGTTCTGTCCGACTCGGAGAACGAGGAGCCCATCAGCAGGAGGATCAGAACCATCTCGGCCTTCATCAGAAAAACCAAAAACTTCTCGACCGTCGGCAGGTGAGCAGAACCGCCCAGACACCTGGTCCTCCAGCGTTTGACCTCTGACCCCGTGTGTTTGTGTCTCAGCGGTTCTCAGAGGAGTCGTAGCTGCACCGACCCGCTCGAGGACAGAGGAGGGAAGATGAAGGTGGTGATCCAGTCGGCGGCTGCGATGGAGCGGGTATGTCAGAACCCAACCGCCACAGACGCGTGGCGTTAAACCCAGTCTGCTTCTTCCTGTTTGGTGTCCGCACCAGAACCTGAGCGGTTCTGACTCGTCTCTCTCTGTGTCCGAACGTCAGGTGGGGATCAGCCACAGCTCGGCAGCAGGAATCCTCCTCTCCTCGGAGAACAGCCGCTCGGTCTCTGCTCCCATCACGGCTCCGGACCGAAGGCTCACCTGGAGGGCGGTTCTGACATCATCAGCTCCTCTGGGCCTGACCCCAGCCAGAACCGAGCGCTCCATCAGTCCTGAGAGCAACGACAGCATCTCAGAGGAGCTCAACCACTTCAAGCCCATCGTGTGCTCGCCGTGCACGCCGCCCAAGCGGCTGCCGGATGGTCGTCTCATGGAGCCCACCATTGTGAAGTCCACTCCTCGGAACCTGACCCGCGGGCTTCAGAAGACCACCAGCTACGAGGCCAGCCCAGTTGTCCTGCAGAAATGGAGGCAGATAGAACTGGACCGGCAGAGCCTCAAAGTGAACTCCAAGGCCACGTTGACGAGTCCCACCACTGAGTTCTGTGCCAAGCTAGATGGGTCAGCCAAGCCACATCAGCAGCGAGCGGGTCAGAACCTGGCGTCCTCCAACAAGAGGAGGCTGCTGTTCGAACATCCAGCCGCAGACCGGGACGACTTCCACAAACAGCTGGTTAAGATCCGGGTTCCTGCGGTCCGCTACTGTAGAGAAGCGTCTCTGAGAGGAGGTTCAGACTTTGAGCTGGCAGACGGTACCTCTGGGCCGTGCAGCGGGTCGGTGCCGCTGGGCCTGAAGCACTCGTTCTCTCCGTACGTCAACGACTTGGGTCCGTTAGTTCTAAAGGGCTCTCAGAGTCCCAGGAGGGACGGCACCCACAACCAGTCTACCTCGAGGAGGGGCAGGAAGAGGGACCAGAAGACCAAACACCTGGACCCGAGCACGGACCTGGACCTAAAGAGGAGCAGGCCCAGCAACCAGGAGGCCCACTGTCAGGTCCAACAGGACCGAGCTCTTGCCCTCAAACTGCAGAAACAGTTTGACCTAGAGAGCCGAAGCCACTGGACCAGTCCCAACAGGTACTTTCTACGGTCCTGGAAGTCCACACAGAACCGCAGGAGGCGTGGCCCGAGAAGGTCTCGGCGAATTAACAAGAAGCACTGAAAGGAGCTGACTCGGCACAAAATAAACTCAAATATGCAACGAGGCCAAAGGTTCTGAACGTTTTCCTTCCTAACACCAGCAGAACTCCCAACAGCTGGGTTTAAAACCCAACCCACGGAGGGGTCGGTCCAGAAGAGTCAGTCGACCCGGTACAGGTTCTGCTGAGGAACAAAACGTCTTAGTGAGCAGAAACCAAAAGAACCAGAACTGAACCCGAAGGCCACCGGGTCCAGTTAACTTGTTCAGGCCACGAAATCACACGACTTCCTTTCCTCCAATCACGTGGCTGCTGAGCAGATCCGGTTGCTGTGTTTGTCCTGACCCAGACCGATCCGAACCACTGGACCGGACCACGGAAACCACTCTTGGGTTTAGTTGTGGTGTTCTGGCTGACTGTTCACACCTGGTATCAAAACCTTCCAGAGGCTTCTGGCCCGTTAGTTCACATGTCATTAATCACTCGGAGTCAGCAGGTCACCCAGACTTGGGTTCTCATTTTCAACCTTAGCTGACGGGTCGAGTCGGGCCGACTAATTCAGAACCGCTACAAACGAGTGTTTAATACTCGACCAATCGTGTTAGCTTGCTGCGCCAGGATGCAGCTGCTGTAAAACAGCCATCCTTGTGATGCGCCGACTCAACATAAAGACAAGATAAGCTCGTCAAACAACGGCGGTCTCGTGTGCGTCGCCGACGAGTTCAACAGCGCCTCGGTCGCAACGCTTGAGTGTGGCTGGCAATGTAGCGGGATACAATAAATCACGAGCGTCGGAGCAAACGTGTCACAAACGTGCGCTAAAGATCATGAACTCCCCGTCGCTACTGTTGATGTTCGTAGGTAACGAGGAGCTTAACGAGGCGACTGCTCGTTCTCGTCGCCCACGGCGATGTGCGTCGCCGTTGTGCTCCCGTGAAAGGAAGGTTCTACTTTGCAGATTTTACACTGTACCCGCTTCTCTTTTATCTTCGTAAATGCTCCCAAACTTGCTGGCTCGCCACGATGCCGTTTTTCTGGGGACGCGACGGCCGACTCGGGTGGCCACTACTGCACGTGTGTTCCGAGCAGAAGGCAGCAGAAGGTGCCGCAGCAGTGTTGCTACATAGAACAAACGATGATGTCGATTGTTGCACGTTTCGTTTGTTGATGTCATCGCGACGAATCGACTAATCGTGGCAGCGCTAGAGGTTTGTGGTCGGACTGAGTTGGGTTTTGACACCAGAGAGTGAAAAAACGAGTGTCTTTGTGCCAATTGTCAAAATAAGGCTAAAGTCTGGTCAGTGTTCAGGTGCAGGAAACACGCCGACGGTTCACGAGATGCTGCACACACGATGGGCAGTGGTTGCTTACCGTAATAAGCGTGGTAAGTGCTCCCTACTGTAAAACACCCTACAGTGTTGGCACCAGATGAGTCGATGTATTTACCTACTTATAAACTTATTCTCTGTGGCTCGTCTTCACTGGTCACCTAGAACCTTCTGGTTCTGATCTGTAACTGGCAACAGCCACAAAAGTCTTGGACCGGGAGTGAGAAAGTAATTTTTTGTCTAGAAAAGTGGACTGCAGCGTCCACATTTGACAGGATGTAATTTTTACTTTATTTTTTACATATTGCACCATTAAAGACATGGAAATTCTGGCTGAGTGTTCCATGTGATGATGTCGGCCAGATCTGGATTGTGCTGCGGGTTGAATTTTTGGGCCCATTGTAAACTAACCCAGACCACCCCGGCAGGTCCCCCAGGTATTTGGGTGAGGTGAAGAGAAGCAGAATGTTAAATCTTGGTACCAGGTTTGAACGGGTCCAGATGTTTCTACCAAAACAAGCCAGATCTCCCAAGTCTCCAGGTTCTGACCAGATGAAATGGGAGGTTCTGGTTGATCTCAGACCTGCGAGTAACAAAACACATCGGTTTTAGCGTTCCCATCAGCTGATCATGTAGTTAGTTGTACCTGTGGACAGGTTCTGGCTCAGTAAAAACCCACCTGCTTCTCTGTTACTTGCTTTTGGTGACGTCTGCGTGTAAGCCGCCAGAACCAGACATGGACTTGGACCTGGTTTGGAGTTCTGTCTGCCTGGACTCATCAGCAAGAACTGAAGCTAAAAACATCCCAGTATGTTACCTCTACAGATCACAAATAAAATAAACACATTTTTCTTTTATTTGTTGTATGATTTTAATGTTTTAATCACATATTATTACATTTTTGATATTTCTAAAAAAAATTATTTATTTTACTTTTGGCTGAGTCTCAATTTTTGACATTTAGTTAAATAAAATTCGAGGTTAAATAAATGTTTTGGATTAGTTTAGTTTAAACGGGTTCATACCGGTTCATACTTTATATTTGTTGGAGAAAAAAACTTACGCACAACCCGACGCCACGCTGGCGTCGGCTGACGTAAATATGAGTTTTTGGCCAATCAGGCTCGTCCAGGTAACAGCGGAAGCTAAAGATGGCGGCTGCGCGGAACGGGAAGAGCGGGCTGCTGGAGAAAGTAAGAATTTAAAGCGTTTTTGCGTTTTATTCGGGTTTAGTAGGAAGTGTTTCGCTGTGGTTCTCCGGTTGCAGCCTGTTTCCTCTCAGGCGTCAGCTCCCGGTCGGAACGCCGGTTTCCTTTACCGGTTGTTTACCTCCGTTATTTGAAACTAACTGGCGTAATCAAACGTTTAAATGTGCTTTTTAAAATAAAACCGCTGGGTTAATTGTTTATTAGTCTGCTGTTAGATCCCGAACAGAATAGGAATTTACCAGTCTGACTCGCTGCTACTTTTTCCAGATGCTACAATCTGCTGCACCAAACTCCAGTCAGAAAAGTAGAAATTTACTTCTACTTCTTTGTCTGAATTTAAAAAGCACAACATGATCAATTCGGTGTCAAATCGGTGGAAACTGCTAATGATCGTCTTTAGTTTCATGGGTAGAACAAAAGCCGGTCCGTCGAGATCCGTTCATGATGTTCCTCCTCATTCCACCGGAAATCGGAAACCAGCCAAACCAACCACTCGGAACTGGTCTCGGTACAACTCGAGTTTGTGTTGGTGAATCGGGTCTACACGAGTGTTGTGAAGCTGCGCTGTTTGTGTTTGGACCTGAAGCTGATGGGTACCGAACTGATCCAGATGGGTTTGTCTGTTCCAGTGGAGAATCGATGAGAAACCGGTGAAGATCGACAAATGGGATGGAGCAGCAGTGAAAAATTCCTTGGATGATGCTGCTAAGAAGGTCAGCGCCGGTTCTGAACATCTCATCTAACCCAAGGCTTTAGTCTGGTCCACATTTTTAGTTTGTTGGAGGATTGTCTTTCTAACGGGTTGTGTTTTTGTGCTGCTGCTCCTTCAGGTGTTGCTGGAGAAGTACGGATACCTGGAGACCTTCTGCCTGGTGGATGGGCGGCTGCTCATCTGTACGGTTTCCTGTCTGTTTGCAATGCTGGCGCTGGTCTGGGACTACATGTACCCATTTCCTGAGTCCAGACCGGTCCTGGCCAGCTGCGTCATCTCATATCCTCACCTGCTCAGGTCTCTTCTGTTCTCGTTTCTCCTTCACAGAGATCAGGTTTCAGGTTAAAGAAAATAATTTAAACAGCTAATCCAGAACCAAAACTCTGTCGCGGGAATTGAATCAGGGTTTGATGATGATGAACCTATCCTCCTTAACTCGTCTTCATCACATATTTCATCATGATGGGCATCCTGACCCTCTACACATCCTACAAGGAAAAGAACATCTTCCTGGTTGCCCTGCAGAAAGATCCAGCTGGGATGGACCCAGACCACATCTGGCAGCTATCATCCTCTCTCAAACGGTTGGTCACTCACTCACTCACTCACTCACTCACTCACTACTCACTCACTCTAAGTCTGACTCTTGGTTGAATGGGATGTTTTCCAGGTTTGATGACCAGTATACCCTCAGAATCAGCTTCACGGATGGGAAGACGAAGAACTCACGAGATGCAGAGTTCACGCGGTCCGTCTCGGCGTTCTTCGATGACAACGGTACTCTGGTGATGGACCAGTTTGAGAAAAGTGTCTCCAAACTGCACGACACATTGGCCGTGGAAAAGAAGACCAAATAAGCCGAGTTGGACCCTCCTCCTTCTGGGCTCCTCTTTGGTTTCAGTTTGATCCTAAACATCTAAACTGGTTTCTTCAGCTGGAGGAAGCCAGAACCATTCAGCAAAACCAGTTGCTCGTACTCTTCGCCCTGATCTAGCCTCTCCTCAGGGTGAAACTGGGTCAACCGCCACTTAAACAATAAATCTGATAAAATCCTGTGCAACATAAACTTTCTGGTTCTGATGATTGCAATAATGTAGCTGTTTCTCTGAAGAACAAACGGGACATTAATTTTGATTGGTTACCTTGGAGGAGCTGTGTAGTGACAAAACAGGAAGTGATGCTAGAGACAAACTGAAACCAATAAAGGAAACAGGAAGTTTGTCGGTGCGACGCCTGAAACTGTGTGAAGTTAATGACAGTCGGGCACAGGTTGTAGTCCGAGGAAGGTTTATTCTTCTCATTTAGCCCAAAAAGCTGTCGGAACATTTTTACAAAAAACTGGTTCTTGGGCCCATAAAAGAGGTGAAAGTAACAAACCTCCAATAAAGAATCAAACAGACCTGCTTCAGTGAGACGAAGGAGGAACTTCAGTAACGGCTGATCAGCCCACAAAAACAGCTGCAGCCCGAGAACCCCCCCCACCCCAAATCCAACCCCTTAATGCCGAGTGTCTATCAGGGAGGCATTAGGTCCCATTTTTTGAAAGCCTTAGGCATAACCTGACCAAGGATTTGAGCCCAGGGTGGACGCCGCCACTAGGCCACTGGGCTGAGATTGTTTATGTTTAATTAAAGCAAATTAATTAAGGAAAACCAAATTTGGATGTAGTGGCATTAGGCCGTAGTGCAACAGTGCAGCTGCAGCCATCACAAGGCCGATGTCAATGCTGCTCTACACACACACACACTGCTCTCGTTGTGACCCGTCATCTTGGTTCTGGTTCCGTCTACATTTTAGATCCCCAGATTTTATTTGAGATAAAAAAATTAAACGAAATTCCAGTAACAGGTCTGGTGGGCGGAGCTACAGCGAGACCCCACACCTGAGCAACTGCTTTCAGGTGGGCGGGGGATGTTGGAGGGGGCGGGGCAATGGGATGTTGTTTTTAAAGTTTTGTGTTGGTGTCTGATTGTGCACCGGATCAGGGACAGCAGAAAACTGGTTAGATCTTCAGGTTTTTGTGTTTCTGTGACTTAATAAAGCAAAATGTTCCCAAAAACTGGACAGTTTTTGCGTTTGTGTCTGAAGCTTCTGGATTGGTTCCTCTGGATGATCCTGTGAATGTTCTGTCGGAGGAACATGGTTAGAGTTCGAGGCTATTTTCAGACCTGGAGGTCTGCCTGCTGCATCCTCAGTCAGCTTGAGATGAACCTCAGCAAAGAGCGGATCTGTTTCTACGTCTCACTGGTGCTGGTTTGGAGATGCTGCACACGGATCACCATTCCCATTTGCTGCTCCAGTTGATAGATGCCCGCTGTATCAGGCTTCATTTTGGGACGGTAACCTAGGTAACAAGCTAGTGATCCTTGATGTCTTTAGATAGCTCAAATGTTTTTTCTTGTTCCTCAGAGGAACCATCCCAGATACATGGAAAGAATTTGATTCTCGGCTTGCAGTGACTTGGCTCACCCACCAGGTGGAGTCCTGCAGCTTTTATATCACCTGGACAGGTGCGAGTGTCCCCTAACAGGAGGACATGGGGATCCTAAAACCCCACCAAACTAAATAGTTTCTCTCATCCCTGCACTGGATGCGATGATCAGATGTTTTCATGTTGGATGGAACTCTTCAAACGGGGCCAGAGCTGAATATTCAGATGTTCTGGGTGCAGAAGGTCTCTGAGGGGTGGGAAAAACCGAGGACGTTGACCTCACACCAAGTCTTCTAGACCAATGTTCTCCAACACTTTCCACACCAAGCACTGGCCTCTTGTGGAACTATGGGAGTGGTGTTTTTGGGGGTAAGGTTCAGTTGGTTCACCTGTGTCTGGACTATGGAGCCCTGTTTTAACCAGACTCTTGTCCTGGGATAGAACCCAGATCGGATTACTCTACCTGGTCCTGTGAGCCCCAGAGCTCCCACTCCAGTCCCTCAGAGGGAGTGGGTCTACTAGGATCATGAGCTGGTTCCACACAGCTTCAGAAAACTCATCCGTCTGAAAAAATACATTACCATTAAGGTGGACATTGCTATACAGTGAGATGGGTGGGGCCAGGAAAAGGGGGTGGGGCCTCCGATCCCAGCTGAGCGTGGGAAGTGACTCTGAGCTTAGTGAGGGAGAGTGTCGATCATGGCCTGTCTGATGGCCGCCTGGTCTGTCCACAACCCCACGGTGACCAACTCCATCATCATGGTGAGTCTGGTCTCACACACACACACACACACACACACACACACACACACACACACACACACACACACACACACACACACACACACACACACACACACACACACATTTTTTTAATGTAATCTTTGTGAATTTTTTTCTGCTTCAGATGAATTTTATGTTCTTGTTAATTTAGTCAGAAAAGTTTCACAATTAAACCCGAACAAAACAAACTGGGCTCAATAGAACTTTTAGTCACGCTTGTCTGAGCGTGCTCAGTGACACACAGGTAGACCACCTGGGGACTGGGGGCGGAGCTCCCAGAGCCCCACTGGACCTGGTCGCTTTCAGGGTGGGCTGATCCAAAATGACTCGGGACCAGTTTATGTTTTCCTAAACGTTAAACCTGCATGGAGCTTTGGACCTTTGAATAAATCCAGAGGTTCTGCAGACCTGGGACTTCTGTCCAGGCAGGTTCACTCTGGTACCAGTCTGGTCTCTGGAGATTTAGGCTCATGTTGGACTCAACAGTCAGTGACTTGATGCAATTTGCTGGGTTCCTTATATAGGAAACATTATTTCTGATTGGCTTAATGAACTGACCTAAATTGGAATGTTTATTATGTGAAGTGCCTTGAGACGACTCTTGTCGTGATTTGGCGCTTTATAAATAAACTTGAATTGAATTGAAACAGCTCAGCAGCTGTCAGACTGGACTGGTCCAGAACCTCAAATCCAGATCAGAACCGCAGATCCAGACTAGAACCTCCAACCCACACCAGAACCACTGATGCAGACCAGACTTTCCGAAGGTGTGAGGGGGTAATGGACCTTCTTGTACCAGACCAAAACAGCAGGTAGTAGGAAACCCCTCCAGAGCTTCAGAAGTTCTGGAGAACTGTTGATCCAGATGTAACGTGATGAAGGAGCTATTCCTCCAAGGTTATTCAACCTTTTCCACAGTTGCCTCTGACACAGCGCCAGAGTGCATGAAACAGCCTCAAGGTCATGCATTTGCTTCTAAACTGTTTACTTTCCAGCAATGAAGAGAGAAGATGAAGACTCTTTTCTTTTTATTAAATCAAAGAACTCTATTTTCAATAAAGCTAATCAAAACAACTGTTAGTCAATAATACAATGTGACCGATCTGTGAAATCACAATGTTATGATTAATATGTTTTTAATGAGTAAATGACTTATTCTAGTCACTAGACACGCTGATACACGTTAAGGTAAACGGCCGCATGACACATTGCTGTTGCTGATCCAATCAGAACCTTCCTAGTCTGAAGCGTGGCAGAGTCTCTGTGGTGTTTATTAAATCTGTCAGCTTTGATTCATCCAGAATCAAAAACATCCAGATTAATAAAACAGTTCCAACGCCATCTTAAGTTCAGTTCTCAAGATCTCGTTCTCAAGATCTCATGAAGTTCACCGCATGTTAAGTATTGGACCGGCCATCTATGCTTCTCTTTTTAAGCTGAGAACCATCAAGCTGGGAAAAATCTGTTGTTACCAACCAAGCAACGGTACCTTTCAGAATAAAAGCTGAACTCGCTGACCCAAGGAGGGTCCCTTTTTGACGCTGTGAAACACCTGTCGCTTTTTACCTGGAGACTATCCAAAGACTGGTTTGTCGTGCTGTCAACGCTGTTTCATCGGCTCCGGTACCAGAGGAGGGTCGTGGACCTGGCATCCAGATCTGTACGGAGGTCTCACTGAGGTTATGTGGATGCGACACAAATGGCGTCTCATGTGTTTATGACCACGAGTCTCAAACTCTGATCAGTTAGGAGCAAAACATCATCTCCCACTCAGACTTTGCTTCTCCGGACACGAAGGTTCTGAATTTGACATCATTCACCTCACACTTCATTCAAACAGAACATCCATCATTAGAGAGTTAGTCTTGTTAAATTGTTTAAAGTTATTTAGTAAAAAATTTCCTTAAACGTTTGAAAGTCTCTCTTCTCTTGTCTCTCAGTTAATACAAAGTGTTATTAGAAAATCCCTGTAATAAAAAGATCCAGTCTTCTGATTTAAATAACCCAGTGTCCATGAGATGGAATTCATACTAGATATGAATTTTAATGTCTTATGGTCCTTAATTAAATGTAATTTAAACTCGTTACACAGATTACAACCTGAATGTAACCATTTCATCTTCTGGTCCCTCAGAACACCAACGGGCCCCCAGACCTGATGCTGGACCCCAGAACCGTGTGTGTCTGTTTGGATGAGGCGGTTCACAAGAGACCAGCAGGAAGCCAGCGGACGCGGCTGCTGCAGGGACACCTGAAGAAGGTGGATAACAACCTGATGGAAGCCCAGAGGTTCTCCTCATTACCACGGAGACCAGCTGTCAACATCCAGTTCAAAGACGTCTCATACTCCATCAGGGAGGGGCCCTGGTGGAGGAGGACAGGTACCTTAACATGCCTGGTGGACTTCAGATGAGCCCTGATCAGCCCAAGACCTGATCCGTTCCAGACCTGGTGTCACATGAAAGCTCCAGACAGTTTGTAGATCCTGCAGGGACCAAGTCCACTTTAGGGGCATGAGGCTTATAGGGATTTAAAGAAGTAGATGGACCCACCTGGATTAAAACTTAGACCTGGACCACAAGGTCCTTCAGCCCGCTGCAGAACCTTCTCATTAGACCAGAAGGTCCAATCTCCTCTCTGTAGGAGATTGGACCTTCTGGACTCCCATCTGGGCTCAGAACCTGAGTCATGAGTCATTTTAAGATACTCTTAATGGTATTGGCCCGTCTTATCTCTCACAACTGCTTTTACCATCTGAACCCTCGTGGCCCCAGGGCTCCTCTGGCAGCCGTCTCCTTGTCATCCCTAAAGTCAGGACTCGCACTCACGGCGAGGCGTCTTTAGTTATTACGGCCCTCGCCTCTGGAACGGGCTGCCGGAGGATCTCAGGGCCGCAGAGAACGTTCACGTTTTTAAGAATAGGCTCAAGACCTTTTTAGTTTAGCTTTTAACTGATTACTATTTATTAAATGGCTTATTTTACTGATTTATTTATTTTACATCATCCATTTTAGATATTTTCCATTTTAGCTCGTGTTATTTCACATGTCACGTATTCTAATCCTTCCAGTGTTTCCTATGGGGAGCCCTCTGCCTCGGGACCAGTGGTCTATGGCGGCGGCTGGGGCGCCCCTAGGGTAGTGCCCAGGGAGTGGTGGGGGTTGCCACCCTCCCTCCCAGGGCGCCCTGGATTGGTGTCTTGGCTGATGCTGCTAATCTGCTGTTGACGAGGCAGATGGCTCCCATGATGGCGCGTCTTTCATTACCTGTCCAGTCTGAGCTCAACCTAGTGCTTACTGTGGTCTTTTAATGTGTTATGTGTACGTGTGTGTATGTGCGTGTGTGTGTGTGTGTGCCTGGCAATGGTTTGTGGATTGGGGGTGAAACTGTCACTATTGTTTTGAGTGTGGGAAAGGGAGGGAATGTGGGTTATATGGGTCGTTTTAATCTGTGAAGCACATTGTGCTGCATGCTATGCATGAAAAGTGCTTTATAAATAAAGTTTGATTCGATTTGATGAGCAGAACCCTGATCGTCTGCAGCAGATGTGAAGAAAAAAACAGAACCAGAGGAGTTTGGTTCTGTGACAGCCGGACTCTGCTGGATTACCAGGTCATAATCTGATAATCTCACCAGAACCTCATGCTGCAAATAGCTACAGGTCCGATTAGAGCGAGCCCCATCAGCCTGCCTCAGTTCAAAACAGAACAGGTCCGGCCCCAGAATCAGAACCAGACCAGAAGGTGGACCTGCATCCAGACAATGAATAAGACCTACATCCAGATCCAGACCCAGAACCAGATCCAAACCTGGTTCTGAAATGTTGGATCTGGGTTTCTGCCTCCTGTCAAGCGGCCCTGTTGGTTCTAGCGGATTGGGTTTCAGCTTTTCAGGAGGAAACAAAGGGACAAAAGACGGCTAAGCAGAGTCCAGATCTGAGGTCTGATATTCTGGTTCTGCTCCTATAAAACCAGAATAACATCTGATGTTATATGGTTCTGTCAGAAAAACCGGGTTTAGACCCATGGTGTTCCTCACCTGCTCAGGTGAGATGAGATACTAGAACCTGGACCTGCAGGTACCCTGATGCTTTTCAGGAACTTCTGAGCACCAGATTCAGTTTAGTTGGTCTTTTCATCCAATCAGATGAGCAGAAGGAGGCCTCGTCAGGTTCTGGTCCCACCGGAACCACTGAGTCCTTCAAACTGGTACTGACAAGTTCTGACTACTGAGGACTTCTGAGTGAAAACTGGACAGGTCATGTGACAAAAGTAACCAATCACAGAGTAGCAGCAAGTGGGCAGAGCTCAAGATAATTAAACCCAAACGGGTCATTTAGGTTCTGTCAGATACTTTAAATACATTTCTACCTAATTATTAAACCAGATAGGCTTCAGAACTGGGTCTGGTTCCAGGTCCAGAACCAAAAAACTGGTCATGAAAAACATCCAACTGTCTAGTAGCCTGCAGTACCCTGAAGTACCCTGTGCCACCGTTTATAGTATCCTGTAGTACCCCTAAGTACTCTGTAGTAGTAAAGTCGTCGTCGTCTTCCTCCGCTTATCCGGGTCCGGGTCGCGGGGGCAGCATCCCAACTAGGGAGCTCCAGACCGTCCTCTCCCCGGCCACCTCCACCAGCTCCTCCGGCAGGACCCCAAGGCGTTCCCGGACCAGATTGGAGATGTAACCTCTCCCACGTGTCCTGGGTCGACCCGGGGGCCTCCTGCCGGCAGGACATGCCCGAAACACCTCCCCGGGGAGGCGTCCAGGAGGCTTCCTGACCAGATGCCCAAACCACCTCAACTGGCTCCTTTCGATCCGGAGGAGCAGCGGTTCTACTCCGAGTCCCTCCCAAATGTCCGAGCTCCTCACCCTATCTCTAAGGCTGAGCCCGGCCACCCTACGGAGGAAACTCATTTCGGCCGCTTGTATCCGCGATCTCGTTCTTTCGGTCATTACCCAAAGCTCATGACCATAGGTGAGGATTGGGATGTAGATCGACCAGTAAATCGAGAGCCTGGCTTTCTGGCTCAGCTCCCTCTTCACCACGACAGATCGGCTCAGCGTCCGCATCACTGCAGACGCCGAACCAATCCGCCTGTCGATCTCCCGATCCCTCCTACCCTCACTCGTGAACAAGACCCCGAGATACTTAAACTAAAAAAGTAAAAAGTTTATTTATATAGCACTTATCACAGAAAGAAAAATCACAAGAGGATTCACAAAGATCAACAAAACAAATCTTGAAGTCATAAAACAACAGAAGAAAAAAAACAAATAAAAATTAAAATCAGAAAACAAAAGATTCAGATAAAAGCAGCTTTAAGTAAAAGTCTTCAGCTGCGCTTTAAAAGGGACCAGTCGGTCAATACTCAACCTTTATATCTGGTCTTTGGAGCTTCTAGAATGTTTGTGGACCTCAGCGCTCGGGTTGGAGCATCAGTTCAGTAACATAGGGAGGAGCTTGACCATGTAGAGCCCTGAAAGTTAACGGGTAACCAGTGCAGAGACGTCAGAACAGGAGTGATGTGAGCTCTTCTGTTAGGAGCCTCGCTGCAGAGTCCATGCTTTGACACCAGCCTTCATAGCTTGGAGATGTTTCTCAAATGATAAAAGCAGTTTTGGTCCAGCCTTTTTGAGTGGCCTTCAAGAGACATTGATTGGTCTAAAACACCCAAATTCCTCAAACTTGACTTGACGACAGAAGATAAACGACCAAGTTGTTGACGAGTCAGAGGAACCACGCTCTCAGGGGCAATGATCAGACATTCAGTCTTTTCTGAAGTTTAACTCAAGCCAATCTTCTGGTGATAGCTGACGGACTCTCTCTTCAGACAGTTTCTGAAACTCAGAATCCTTAAAGGAGCAGTAGAGCCGATGCCATCTGCATACAGGTGATCGGAGACCTCATGTAATATCCTTTAGTGGTCTATTGTACTCGGTAGTATCCTGCTATACCCTCTAGTAGTCTGTAGTACTCAGTAGTACCCTGTAATTCCCTAGATTACCCCAGAATATCTCGATTTAGCCTGCTGGACCCTACAGTACCTTTAGTAGTCTGTAGTACTCAGTAGTACCCTGTAATTCCCTAGATTACCCCAGAATATCTCGATTTAGCCTGCTGGACCCTACAGTACCTTTAGCAGTCTGTAGTACTCTGTAGTACCCTGTAATTCCCTAGATTACCCCAGAATATCTCGATTTAGCCTGCTGGACCCTACAGTACCGTTAGCAGTCTGTAGTACTCAATAGTACCCTGTAATTCCCCAGATTACCCCATAATATCTCGATTTAGCCTGCTGGACCCTACAGTACCTTTAGTAGTCTGTAGTACTCAGTAGTACCCTGTAATTCCCCAGATTACCCCATAATATCTCGATTTAGCCTGCTGGACCCTACAGTACCTTTAGTAGTCTGTAGTACTCAGTAGTACCCTGCAATTCCCTAGATTACCCCATAATATCTTGATTTAGCCTGCTGGACCCTGCAGTACCTTTAGTGGTCTTTAGCACCCTGTACTAGCCTGTAGTACTCTCTACTCCCTGTGGTGGCCTGTAGTACCCTGTAGTAACCTGGAGTTACTGCCGGTCAGATTAAATCTGGTAATCTGATTAACAGCCTTGGTCCTCCAGCAGCAAAAGGTTACTGCAGGTCATTTCTGTTTGTTTGGTTCCAGCTCAGGGAGGACCAGAGCCAGCCACCAGGGGGCGCACAGTCTGGTCCAGTCCAGATTTTATTAGACCCTCAACAGATTGAGGACTCTCTGGTCATAGTCAGATGCAGCAAAGCAGGTCCAGACCAGAACCGAGTCTCCTCCATGTTCTCCAGCAGGTCCAGTGAATAAAGCTGTTGACATTGCTTAACGTGAGAGGGATTATGTGCACAGAACCTCAGAAACACTTTTAGATCGACCAAAAAATGCCATAAAGTGTCTCGACATGTCGTTTCCTGACACAAGTCCTTCGTTTCCTAGTTTGAGGGACTCTGAGGTTCCTGTGGGACCAGGACCCGATGAGGCCTCGCTGATTCTGGTAGTCCTTAAAGCAGCTTCGGCGTCTGGTCCAGAACAGGTTCAGAAGCCTGTGTGCAGTCAGATCAGGTTCCGTTCTCAGAGGTCAGGGCGGAGCCTCGTGTTCAGGTGAATCTGTGTAGATCAACATGAAAGCAGGCCAGAGAAAACCCTCCAAACTGGTCTGAAACCAGACCCAGCCCAGAGAACAAAGAGCTGCTGTGAGTTCTGCTGGGAACCTGCAGACTGATTGTTTCTGGCCCGTTTCAGGTTACAAGACTCTGCTCAAAGGGATCTCTGGGAAATTCACCAGCGGGGACCTGGTGGCCATCATGGGCCCGTCCGGAGCAGGAAAATCCACCCTGATGAACATCCTGGCCGGTTACAGGTGAGCGGAACCAGAACCTTGATTTCTGGCGTCTCTGGAGGTTCTGGGACTTTAACCCCCCCCCCCGTGTCCTTGTTAACAGAGAGACGGGGATGAAGGGTGAGATCCTCATCAACGGCCAGCCCAGAGACCTGCGCTCCTTCAGGAAGGTTTCCTGCTACATCATGCAGGACGACATGCTGCTGCCACACCTGACCGTGCACGAGGCCATGATGGTACAAAACCCAGAACCAGAACCAGACCCAGTTTCTCAAAGCTCCACGCAGAGCTTCAGCCCTCTCCTCCACAGGGAACTCTGTGTCCCTCCAGAACCAGGCCTCAGAATAAACCCCCAGTCTAAATGTTCCAGAACCTCACCATGCACCAGAGTCAGCACCATAAACCCGCCCCCCCCCACGGGTCTCTGCGGTTTAGTGTTCTGATGTTTGTCTCAGTGTGTCCAGGTCCAGGTTCTTCAGATCTTTGTGTTTCTGCAGGTTTCAGCGAACCTGAAGCTGCAGGAGAAACCGGAGGCTCGGCGTGAGATGGTGAGAAAGGCCTCCAAACTGAGTCCTGGTCTTCCTCCTGCTCTCTGGAGTTTAACCAAGAGTTCTGGTTCTGGTCTCTACTCCAACAGGTCCAAGAGATCCTGATGTCTCTGGGTTTGCTGGACTGCGCTAGCACCAGAACGTCCCACCTGTCAGGCGGTCAGAGGAAGAGGCTTGCCATCGCTCTGGAGCTCGTCAACAACCCTCCTGTCATGTTCTTCGACGAACCCACCAGGTGATCTGGGT